CGCACCGTGCACGTCAAAGCGCCTGTCGGAGCATGCGGCGCTGTGAGTATCTGAAGTGCTCCGTGGGTCCTCAGGGAAAGCGGCCCTCTCCAGACCCCCGGACCGTCCAGAGCGGCGGGAGGAGTAACAGGTTCCTGGGGAAGGCCCACGATCCCAGGATCCGTCTGCATGATGGACTCTCTCTGGCCATCGTGCCAAGGAAGGGCACCACGAACAAGGCAAGGCTGGCATCGTCGGGGCCTGCACATAACCTGAAGTCGGGCGTGTCCCTCTACAGGAGGAATATGCAAAAATAGTCCAACAACAATCAGGGGACGATTTGTTTCTAGTATGTTTGGCCATGTTGGGGAATGTTTGGGGTATGTTTCATCTTTCTTCCACAATCCGACTGTATGGGGGGCACGCCAAACCTGAGCATAAGCCTGGGCATCTGTTCATCGCGCGTGCTCCCTTTCCTCGTGGGTGCGGCCGACTCGCGCCGCGTTCGCATGTCGGCGGCCCCAGCGCCGGCGTTCCAGGTTGCACGCCGCCAGTGGCCTGGAATAGGCCGACATCCAACGATCAGCATTATCGACAAGCCTTGTCGTTCCAGGTTGAGCGATCTACGCGGTGGGAGAAGTCCACGTGCACGTCATCGCGACGTGGACTTGCCGTGGAGCCATTCCCCAGGGAGGTTTTCGCAGGCTCAGAGCTAGTCTAAGTCGGGCGTGTCCCTCTACAGGTCCTCGGCGGGGCGCGCCGGGCCTGACCTGGCCTCGGGCCCCCCCGGAGCGTGCTCCCCGCTCTCGCGCGCGCTGCTGCTGCTGCTGCTGCTGCTGCTGCTGCTGCTGCTGCTGCTGCTGCTGCTGCTGCCCGCAGGTCGTGGCACTGCTGTGGACCGTGGTGGCCTACGGCATGCAGCGCTCGCCGGAGCGCGGGCGCACGGGCAGGGCAGCCTGGGCGTTGCCTCGTGAGGGGGCGATAAAATCGGAGGCTGATAGACCTCCTACCCTGACACGTCGATTAGCGAATTGGCCGTTTTCGGTCTGCGAGAGGGCGTCGCGGCCGTCATTTTTGCGGGTCCAGGTCCGTCGGTTTCGGTCCCAGGCCGTTTCCACTAAAGGGAGGTTTGTCCACTGCCGATAAAAGGGGAGGGGAGAAGAGGCCCATCGAGAACAGAAGAGCCCCCGACCCCAAGAGCACGACGAAGACGAGGCCTCACGCAGGCCCCCGTCCTCGCAGCAGGGATCAATACATCTGGGCGGCTTGGTCTGATACAGCCACGGTTGCGATCCCCTAGCCCTATACTGTTTTTGGCCCTCCTGACTTCCGTCCCCTCCCGAAGGGCCAGGGGTACTGTTGCTGCTCGTCCGACACGAGCACCCGCTGGGCTCCTGGAGGCCCCTTCTGGGGCTTCGCCAGTTTCAGGGCGCACGAGGCGTCCCTGTCTCCACCCCCCCATTCACCACACCCCACCCCCGCTGCGCAACGCCCGAGCTGCGGGGCGAGCAGCGGAGCCGCCACGGTGTGGAGCGGGCGTCGGCCGTGAGGGGACGGTGTCGGCATCCTGGGAGGCAGCTGCAGGCGACCCCGGGGAAGCGCCCCTGCAGATGCCCTCGGGCTCCCAGGGGAAGCGCCGTGGCAGGGTACTTGCGGGCGCTCCAGGGACGCGCTTCGGGAGGTCATTCGGGGCGCCTCCAGGCGTCCCGGCAGGTACGGACGCCCCAAGGAAACGTCCCAATTCCTCCCTCTCCTTCGCCTCCTCCCCTTCCGCATCATCCACCCTGCTCCTCGTCCTCCTCCCTCTCCTTCGCCTCCTCCCTCTCCTTCGCCTCCTCCCTCTCCTTCGCCTCTTCCCTCTCCTTCGCCTCCTGCTCCTCTTCCTCCTCCACTTTTCTGTGCCTCTCTGGCACAGGCAGGGGAGCAGGTCCCCTTGCGTCTGCTGTCTCACAGTTCAGGGAGGCGCGCTGAGTCAGCGGGCCATTTGGGCGAGTAGGTATCTTTCGAACCAAGTGAATGTGCAGAATGCGCTGCTCCAGCTCCCGCTGCCTCCGAAGGCGATCTGGAACACTCATGACCGTGGTGATGGCAAGTCTCGCGGTGTTTATCAACAGCGTTGGTGGCAGCCTGACGAGCAGACCCAAAAAATCCGCGCGGAGCGCCAAAAGTTTATGGTTATGTTTTTTGTCTTCGAATGGGGCAGGGATGCGTGGCAGGGGTAGGATGCCAGAAACGGTGCGAGCGGGGCCCAGCGTGTCTCTCCCCGATCGCATCATCCCCCCCTCTTTGCCACATCGGGAGGGACGAGGACAGAGGCGCAGGAGTAGGATGAGTATAGGGGGGCTAGACGATGCAATTAGGATTGCAGTCGGACCGAGGTGTAACATCGAGGTCGGCTCGAAGAGGGGGTACCCTGGTGTTCTTCGTGCTTGTGGGATGCTCCCGTGCCTCCTGGGGAGGGTACCCGTGGATGTCCTGTACGAGGATGATTGGGGTGTCTTAAGGTCACAGGTGCCTATTTTGCCAACGGGCCAAGAACCAAGAATCGCCGGCCGTGTTGTGGGCATTTCAAGGAGGTGGGTCCTCGTGGCGCGCGACGCCCACGAAGAAAAATATATATGACCTTACACTCGCCAATGTATCCTCGTTGTTCTGTGTGTTCTGGCCGACGGGGGGTCTCGAGTTCTTGAATGGATACGCTTCTAGCCCAGGTCCGACTGTAGGGGAGGGCGGGGGGGGGGAAGAGCGGTGGAGGAGGATGAGGAGGAGGAGGAGGAGGAAGTGGAGGAGGAGGAGGAGGAGGGGGAGGAGGAGGAGGAGGAGGAGGAGGAGGAGGAGGAGGGGAGGAGGAGGAGGAGGAGGAGGAGGAGGGGAAGGGGGGGGAGGAGGAGGAGGAGTGAGGAGGAGGAGGAGGAGGAGGAGGAGGGAGGAGGAGGAGGTGGAGGAGGAGGAGGAGGAGGAGGAGGACGAGGGACGAGGAGGAGGAGGAGGGAGGAGAGGGGGAGGAGGAGGAGGTGAGGAGGGAGGAGGAGGAGGGAGGAGGAGGAGGAGGAGGAGGAAGGGAGGAGGGAGGGGGATGGAGGAGGAGGAGGAGGGAGGAGGGAGGAGGGAGGAGGGAGGATGGGAGGAGGGAGGAGGGAGGAGGAGGATAGGGAGGAGGGAGGAGGGAGGAGGAGGAGGGAGGAGGGAGGAGGGAGGAGGGAGGAGGGAGGAGGGAGGAGGGAGGAGGGAGGAAGGGAGGTGGGAGGAGGGAGGTGGGAGGAGGGAGGAGGGAGGGAGGAGGGAGGAGGGAGGAGGGAGAGGGGAGGAGGAGGAGGAGGAGGGAGGAGGGAGGAGGGAGGAGGAGGAGGGGGAGGAGGTGGGAGGAGGGAGGAGGGAGGAAGGGAGGAGGGAGGAGGAGGAGGAGGAGGAGGAGGAGGAGGAGGAGGAGGAGGAGGAGAGGAGGAAGGAGGAGGAGGAGGGAGGAGGGAAGGAGGAGGAGGGAGGAGGGGGGGAGGTGGGAGGGGGAGGGGGAGGAGGAGGAGGAGGAGGAGGAGGAGGAGGAGGAGGAGGAGGAGGAGGAGGAGGTGGAGGTGGAGTTTGGAGGTGGAGGAGGAGGAGGAGGAGGAGGAGGAGGAGGCGGAGGAGGAGGGAGAGGAGGAGAGGAGGAGGAGGAGGAGGAGAGGAGGAGGGGGGAGGAGGAGGAGGAGAAGGAGGAGGGGCACGGCAGAAGGCCGCAGAGCCGCCTGCGCCCGCGGACCGCACGCGGACGGCACCTCGCCCGCGGACCCGCACCGCACTCGCCCGCGGCGCCGCTCCGTCCGCGGACCGCTTCGCCCCGGACCAGGGCTCCTCCTCCTCCTCCTCCTCCTTTTCCGCCTCCGCCCTCCTCCTCCTCCTCCTCCTCCTCCTCCTCCTCCTCCTCCTCCTCCTCCTCGTCCTCCTCCTCCTCCTCCTCCTCCTCCTCCTCCTCCTCGATTCGACTCGAACCTCCTCCTCGTCCTCCTCCTCGTCCTCCTCCTCCTCCTCCTCCTCCTCCTCCTCCTCCTCGATTCGACTCGAACCCTCCACCCTGATTCGACCCCTCCGACTCGAGTCGGCTCGATGTCAATTCGATGCCGCTGCCGCTTCGGGTTCGGTTTCTCGGATGCCGATGTGGACTGCGGGTTCCCCATGGAGGCTTGGGAGCCTGCCGATTTCCGCCAATTCGTCTTCTCTCGACTTGGCTGCCGATGTCCGCCGATCCGATTCGTTTCGATTGCCGATCCGACTTATCGATTCGACTCTGGGCTCGCCTGCCCAAGACCGCTTCGCCCCAGTCGTCGACGTCGCCGTCGTCGCCGCCGCCGTCGTCGTCGTTCTCGTCGTCGTCGTATTCGTCATCGGCGTCGTTATCGTCGGCATCGTCGTCGTCGTCGTCGTCGCCCCTCGTTCCCGCCCGCCACCCAGCAGGGCCCGCCCGCCCCACCCGCCAGCGAGGGGCCCGCCCGTGAGGCCCGCCCGCCGCGAGCTCTCTCGATGGCCGGCAGTCCCGCCCGCCCCCCTTTCCGTGCCCCGACCGGCCCGCCTTGTTCGGGTCCGGCCCGCCCGGCCCGCCTTGTTCGGGCCCGCCGGGCCCGACTCGCCCGCCGCCTTCGCGTGCGACGGCTGCCTTCGCCCGCCCGCGGAGCGGTCCGCCGCGACAAGTGGTGCGGGCGCAGCGGCCAAGAAGGCGAAGCGGTCGCAGGAGTGAGCGGCAGAGGAGATGGAGGAGCAGAAGGAGGAGGAGGAGGAGGACGATGGAGGAGGAGCTGGAAGAAGAGGAGGAGGAGGAGGAGGAGGAGGAGGAGGAGGAAAGGAGGTGGGAGGAGAGGTGGAGGAGGAGGAGGAGGAGGAGGAGGAGGAGGAGGAGGAGGAGGAGGAGGAGGAGGAGGAGGAGAAGAAGTCAGTGGAGGAGGAGAAGGAGGAGGAGGAGGAGGACGACGACGACGACGGTGCCGCGGTCGCCGCCGCCTACCAGGATTTCGCGAAGCGCCTTCTGGAGCAGCTGAGGAAGCAGCTCGAGCCCCCCAGGCAGTTTACCGAGGCGCGGCACGGCGGACGGCTGCCGCCGTCGTCGGGTCGACGTCGTCGTCGTCGATCGTCGTTCGTCGTTCGTGCGTCCATGCATTCTCGTCGAGGCATCGGGGCATCGAGGCGTCCAGGCGCCGCGGCGTCGAAGCGTCGAGGTGTCGAGGCTGCGCTGGGGGGTGAGTGGGGGGCTGGCTGTCGTTCTCTCTCTCTCTCTCTCTATCAGGGTTCGTTCTTCGTCGTTGGTCGTCGTCCTTGTGATGATCGATGGAGGAGGAGGAGGAGGAGGAGGAGGAGGAGGAGGAGGAGGAGGAGGAGGAGGAGGAGGGGAAGCAGCAGGAGCAGGAGAAGGAGGAGGAGGGCGGAGGAAAAAGAGGAGGAGGGCGCAGGACATGGAGAGGGAGGAGGAGGAGGCGGAGGAGGAGGAGGAGGAACAGTGATCCCTCATGCTTCTTCTCCTGGTTCCACATCCTCCTCCTCCTTCGCCTGCTCCTCCTCCTCCTCCTCCTTCTCCGCCGGTCCTTCTTAGCAGCATCGTCCGCCCGCTTCCATTGCCATGAAATGAGAGGAGGGAGAAAGGAAGGAGAAGGAAGATGGGGCTGAGGAGGAGGAGGAGAAACTACGCACACGATGAGGATGAGGGAGGCAGAAGAGGGAAGAACCACAGCAGGATGAGAAGCGAGGGAGGGAGAGAGAGAAAGGGAGGGAAGAGGAGGAGGAGGAGAAGAAGGAGGATGAGCAGGAGAAGGAGGGGGACCAATGTAAACCCAAGAGCCATCAACGATGTTGAAATACACCCTCTCTCCAAGCTCCCTCTTCACAGGCCCCTACAACGGTTCATTTCCATTGAGGGATCTGCCTCGTTGGAAGACAACAGTTTGAAGACCCTGAAGCATGCCAAAACATTGTTTTCGGGATTCCAACGTGACGGATCAACCTGATTGTTGCGTCGTGACGATCCTGGATCGCGCCAGAACGCCATTCTTGGGATTCTAACACCGCGAATCAACGTAACTGTTACACCCTCAAAATCCTGAATCCTCCCAAGACACAACTTCTGGTGCGTGGCGCTCAGGCGAGAGCCACGTGTTGGAAAGGAGCCGCCCCCAGTCCGTGAAACTCTTGTAACTGTTTAGAACGAATGTGCGCGGCGCTAAGGCGATAGCCACATTTTGTAAACGGGTGATCTTCAACCCGTGAAGCTTGTGCAAATGTTTAGAAGGAGTGCGCGCGGCGCTAAGGCGAGAGCCACATTTCGAAAACGGGTGATCCCCAATCCGTGAAACTCTTGCAACTGTTGAGAAGGAATGTGCGCGGCGCTGCGGCGAGAGCCACATTTTGAAAACCACCCGCCCTCCATATGTGAAATGGTTGCCAATGTTTAAGTGTCAGAGTCAGAATTGGTGACGAAGTCTCAGGCCGAACGCCAGGCCCGTCCTAAAAACTGGCTTCGGGGTGCGACAGGGAGAAGTTATGTATAAGGCAAAGGATTGGAGGAGGAGAAGGCGGAGGAGGAGGAGGAGGAGGAGGAGGAGGAGCAGGAGGGGGAGGAGGAGGGAAGCAGGAAGGGGGATGAGCGGGAGGACCAGCAGCAGGAGGAGGAGGCGGCTGCCTGTCCTGGTTGGGGCGAGCGGGCGGCGTGGCCGGTGCTGGCAGATCGAGAAGAAGTTCTGGAATTGGGCCAGCAGCTTCGCCAACCCGCTCCGGCTGAACGAGGACCCCGCCAGGTTGCGAGCGGTTCTTCGAACGATGTGTCAGGCGAGGGAGGGAGGGAGGGAGGGACAAGGTAAGATAAGACCGATCGCGAAGCGAGGAACAACAACCACTCTAGGACCATCTAGCCGCCTTCTCAGCCTTGCTGGGTACTTTGGGCGTGAGACCTCTGCAAATTCTGTCGAGATAAACTCGACGGATCTTGGTAAGCGGAACCGTGGGAGGGAGGGAGGGAGGGAGGGACGAGAGGTAGGCGAGGAAGGAGACGAAGAAGGAGGAGAGAAGGGAGAGGAGGGGGTAAGGGGATTGGGACGGGGGCAGGGTCCATTATTCTCCGAACCCCCCCTTGCCCACCGCCATTCTCCCTTCTCTTCCAACCCCCCACCTCATACTCTTACAACTCCTCGTCCACTACCCTCAGACTACACCTGCTGGGGGTAGTTTGCGGTGATTGTCAGGCTGTTCAGTACTGTTGCGAGCCATCTGATTTTTACAAAGATACCGAGTTATTGAAAGACCATTGTGGGCGTCAGAGAGTGAACCTGTTGTCGCCGAAGCTCAGCTACAGCGTTTTCTCTCTCAGCCTGCTCCCAAAATATGGAAGATGAGGTCCCCTCACAACAAGAAGGCACACCATTCGCTCGAGGAGTGGACATCTCAGCATAATAAGATGTGCCGTTTGGGCAATCACTGTGCCGATGTTGGCGCTAAGTCTGGCAGTGCAGGTGAGGGCCACTTGGGTCCCCCCCAGCCCTCAGATGAGCAGGTTGCAAGGTTAGATGTTCATGCCAAACGTTCGAGGATGGTGGCTCTTCTGGCGGCCAAGATGCTGTCGCTGTGGCCACGCCTCGGCTTGACTGATGTGCAATGGGTCAAGCCTGTCAGGGAGTCTGTTTCAGAGGCCAATGCGAACCCACGTTGCAAGTGGGCTCCCATCCAGAGCACCTATCTTGGGTCGGGCCCAGGTTTCTGGCAGTGCCCTCCAGCTGCTGGGTCAGTCGGCTGACCACTCACGGTCCTCCTCCCCCACCCGTTCCTTGTAAGCCTGACTCGGGCCTGACGGCGAGCGTGCTGGAGGGGAGGGGACACAAGTGTATCGCACTGGCCCTTTAGGACCAGGAGTCTTTGGTCATGTGTTTGAGGTGTTTTGCTATTCGTCACACGGACGAATGTCTGGCTTAGGAGTTGATTGTATTGGGCCAACTCGGTCGACCAGGCATACGAATTGGAATACAGTGCCACCCCAAGCGTCCAGGTGTCACGGTGGAAATCGGGCCCTGGGCGAAGCCAGGTTGTTTTACATAGCATTTTGATGCCGATGCCGAAGAACATCCCTTTGCTCCTGTTGTTGCTCATCTGCCCTTCCTTCGCCCCCTCATCCCTGTATCCTTCTCCTCATCCCCACATCTGCTCCTCAACCCTGCCCTCCCTCCATCCCTCCCGCTCCTCACTCCGTCCCTCTTCCTCCCTTTTCTCCTCCACCTTCGTGGGGGCGGGGCCTCCTCACACTGATCCTCCGTCCCTCCCTCCCTCGCTCCATCCCTCCCTCCTTCCCTCCCTCCATCCGTACTCGCGCTCCTCCATACTCCTCCCTCGTACTTCTCGACGGGTCCCTCCGCCTTTCCCCCTCGTCCTTCCTCCCTCCCTTAACTCCTCCCTTCTCCTCGCTCTCCTGCCGCCTGGCAATCCCTCTCCCCCTCCTCCTCCTGACCTCCTTCTCTTGAGTGGGGGCTCCCCCCTCCTCCCCCGGTCATTCATACCCCAGCCCCTCCACAACTTCCTTCCGTCATTGCTCCACCCACTCTCCCTCCTTCATCCTCCTCAATAATCCTCCTCCCTCCTCCTCCTCCTCTCATCCTCCTAATCCTCCTCCCTCCCTCGCCTTTCCCCAACTTCATTCCCTCCCCTCCCTCCTCCTCCTCCCCCCTCCCCCTGCTACTTGAATCCTCCCTCCTCTCCCTCCTCCTCTACTCCTCCTACTAATCCCTCCTCCTCCTCCTCCCTCCTCCTCCTCCTCCTCCCTCCTCCTCCTTACTCCTCCTCTTCGAGGGGAGCACTGCGTGCGCGGCCCCTTCCTCCTCCGTACGGCCCCTCGCCGCCCCTGCCGGTGCACCGGGGCCATCCTCGGGAGGCCATGCCTCGCCCGCTCCGCCCCGGAAGGGCCGAGGCGACTGCCCGTGCGAGCGTGTGGCTCCGCTCCCCTGGTGCGCAGTCGGATGCGGAGGAGGAGGAGGAGGAGGAGGAGGAGGAGGAGGAGGACGAGCACGTCGTAACAAGAGTCCCCCATCCCCCTTCCGCCCGCCCCCCTGCGAGAGGCCCCCAGGAGCCCCCGAGCGCCGCCCAGGGCCTCCGAGAGTCGCGGGGCCGAAGAGAACCTCATCGCACCTCCCCATCCCTCCCTCCTCCCTTCTTTCTCAACGAACTCCTCGACAACGTCGACGACGAGGACGACGACGATGACGACGAGGGCGACGACGACGACGACGAGGACGACGTCGACGAGGACGACGTCGACGAGGACGATGACGACGACGAGGACGACGAGAACGACGACGACGACGACGACGACGACGACGACGACGACGACGACAATGACGATTTCGACGACGACGACGAGGACGAGGACGACGACGACGATGACGGCGACGACGACGACGACGACGACGACGAGGACGACGACGACGACGAGGACGATGACGACGACGACGACGACGACGACGAAGACGACGAGGACGACGACGACGACGGCGACGGCGACGACGCTGGCGATTGCGGTGGCGGCAGCGGTGGCAAGGGTTGCGGCGGTGACGGCGACGGCGACGACGGGCGACGGCGGAGACGGCGGCGACCTACGACCGCGACGACGGCGACGGCGACGACGGCGACGACGGGCGGCGGCGACGGCGGCCGTGGCGATGTCTGCGACGGCAACGCCAGGAGTCCGGGCGCCCCTACTGGGTGCCGGCGCCGCCTGCGCCGCCCTTGGACTTCAGGCCCGGACCGCCGATCCCTCGCCATTGCCGACGCCGTTTGCTTTCGTCGCCGAGGTCCTCGTCGTCGTCGTCGGCGTCGTCGTCGTCGTAGGTCGTCGTAGGTCGTCGCAGGTCGCCGTGGCCGAGGTTAATAAAGCCGAAGCCGTCGCCGTCGTCGATGGGGTGTGGACCGAGGTGAGAAAGTTGAAGAAGAAGGTTCGAGAAGGTGCTTCGCTCATCCTCGCCCATATCCCCCCTCCTCGATCCTTCTCATCTTCGTTGCCGGCCCTCCTTGATCCCTCTCCAACCTCCATCCTCGATCCTTCTTATCAGCAGCCTCCTCGATCCTCTTCCTGGTTTGCCTCGTTCTGTCTTGGTCCCCTCGCGTCGCGGTGGTCGCACTTCGTTCGCCCCCCTTTCGTTTGGCCCGTCGCTTGCTCGGGGCTCTGCGTTCTCTTTGTCGTGTCGTGTGTCCTCCTCCTCCTCCTCCTCCTCCTCCTCCTTGCCTCCTCCTTGCCTCCTCCCCTTCCCCTCCATCTCCTCGTGGAAGCGGCGGTGGTTTGGTGGCCTCTTGGGTGGCCCAGTGGAACAGCCATTCGAGGCTTACTTGGCCGTGCAGCCTTTATAACTTCCCGCATGTCCGCCCCACAGTTGAATCATGCTGTCCGCTCTCATCTTTCCCTTCCCCTCAAGGAAATGTTCCTCTGCCCTGTCGTCGCTCGCCCCCTCTTTTGGGTCTGTCCAGGTGGGGGGCTCGCCTCGTTCTGAGCCCAGGCATCCGACGACGTGTCTGTTCCATCCGCCGGCCCCTGGGGATTCCAGCCCTGTCCCCATGTGGGACGGCCCCAGAGCCCGAAGAACGGCCGCCAGAGGTCGAGATCAGAAGAGCGACTCCGAGACTCCGCGTCTGAAGGATCGATCCGCTGGTTGCCTGCGAGTTCTGAGCCCTCGATCCTCCTCCCCTTCTCGCCCCTCGCGGCTGGCGGCCGTGGCCGCGGAGCCACCGGCGTCGGCGTCGTCGTCGGCGCCGCCGCTAGGCGTCGCCGTGCGCATCTCCCTCCCCCTCCTCTCCTCCTGCTCCTGTATCCTCCTCCTCCGCCTCCCATTCTTCCTCCATCCTTCGCTTCCTCCATCCTCCCCTGCCTCCTCCTCCCCTTCCTCCCCTTCCTCCCTCCTCCCCGTCCTCCCCCACCCTGTATCCTGCTCGGGGAAGTGACTGTCTTGTCTGGAGGAGGTGGCCAGCAAGGACGCCACCTTCCACTCACCTGAAGGCCCTTGAGGCCAGCAGTGACCCCATCCAGGGGGCGTGGTTGGGGGACACGCCCCCTCCTTGTCACTGATGGGGCCTGCTTCTGGCTTCGTCGTCGGTGGTTCGCCCAGCTCGTGCCGCGTGAGCTGCCCTCCCTCGCCGAGCTATGCGCGCGCGCCCTTCCCCGCCTGGCCTGCGCCGTTCTCCTGCTTCGGCGTGCTCTGACGCTGTGGCCTGTGCCATCCTCATCGAGCTCCTGCTCCTCCTGGGCCCTTGCGGCTATAGTCTCCGTCGAACGCAGCCAAACCTGCTCCTCCTCCTCCTCCTCCTCCTCCTCCTCCTCCTCCTACTCATCCTCGAGCTCCCCCTTCTCATTATTCTTCTCCTCCTCCTCCTCCTCCTCCTCATCCTCATCATCATCATCATCATCATCATCATCATCATCATCATCATCATCATCATCATCATCATCATCATCATCATCATCATCCTCATCCTCATCCTCATCCTCATCATCCTCATCCTCATCCTCGACCTCCTCCTCCTCGAGCTTCTCCTCGACCTCCTCTTCCGCCCCCCCCCCCGCGCCCCCGCCAGGTCCGGCCGGGCGCCTGCGCCTCCGCCGATGCCCCCCCCGGGGCCCGCGCCCGGGGCCGTGGCGCCCGGAGGCGCGCCTTCGGCCGGGGCGCCGTCGGCCGCCGGCGCTGCGCCGCGACGACAGCGACGACGACGACGACGACGACGACGACGACGACGACGACGACGACGGCGACGGCGACGGCGACGGCGACGGCGACGACGAGGACGAGGACGAGGAGGACGACGACGAAAACGACGAGGACGAGGAGGACGACGACGGCGGCGGCGGCGACGAGGAGGACGACGACGACGACGACGAGGATGACGACGATGGCGACGACGACGACGGCGACGACGGCGGCGGCGACGACGGCGGCGACGACGGCGGCGACGACGACGACGACGTGCCAGGGCGCCGCGTCAAAGAATAGCGATGGCCGTCCTGACCCCGGGGCTGTCAGCAGGACGACTCGGGATGTCGAAGAAGAAAGAACGGCATAAGCATAGATCTCCGAAGCTCCGCGCGAATTTCTTGGGTCTGCGCTGGGCCTCCATGGCGGCGCCTCTGGCGCCGCCCCCTGGCGTGCTCCGCGCGCCAGGGAGTGGGTCCAGCTCAGATCCAAGAAACCGGGGCGGACCGTCAAGCGCAAACGCTTCTGCAGCTTCCGGGCCCTCTATAGAGGAGGAGTTGGCCCCGGGGAGGGATCGAGGCCTCCAGGGGCCCGCGCTGCGGAAGAGTCGACGCGCGACGAGAGGTCGCGGTCGTCATCGCCGGCGCTGTCGTCGAGGGAGGAGAACGGGGGCGGGATGGAGGGAGGGGAGCAAAGGAGGCGGTCGTCGGCGCTCGGCGCGGCGTCGTCGCCGCCTCCGTCGCCACCGTCCCGTCGAGAGGAGGGGGGCCGGTGTCGAGGTGGCCTGGGGTCCGAAGCGCGTCGCCGCCGATGGGGCGGCCAGGATCGGGAACGCACCACAGGGGAGGATGGCCCTGCGTCTGGCCCGTCAGGCTTCCCGGTTGACATCGCGGGCCCCCAGGCGACCGCTTGGGCTCGCATTTGGGGCGGCGAGGAGGGGCCCGCGGAAAGGGGGGGAAGTCTGGCAAAGGATGGGGGGGGGTCCCCTCCCGGGCCCCACGCCCGGAGTCGCGGCGCCGGGAGGCGCACCGCGGCGGGGCGTCGTCGTCGTCGTCGCCGCCAGCCTCGGGCCCCTGCAGCGTCGAGAATCATGTCGGGCGTGTCCCCCTCTACAGGAGGATTTTCGACGAAACATAAAAATACCCCCAAGGTACCCCGAAAAGGTCAAAAAATATTCAAAACATAGTCCCCAGACTATTTTTGGATTTTTTTTTTTTTGTTTTAAGTCGGGATTTTTTTTTTCGTCGAAAATCCCCCTGTAGGGGGACAGGCCCGACTTAAGTCAAGAACCCCTTCGGGCAGGAGCCTGGCCAGACCGGAGGCCTCCAGTCGCCGCCGCCGCGGGAGGCGGTGCCCGGCGGGGGGCCCCGCCGCCGGCCCGGGGCCGAGGTCCGCGCGGAGAGCTCCGAAGCGTGGGGCGCGCGAGTGCCGCCTCGTGCTTTCCTTTCGGCGGCGAGCGAGGGAGGGGGGAGGGAGGAGGAGGAGGAGGAGGAGAGGAGGAGGAGGAGGAGGAGGAGGAGGAGGAGGAGCAGGAGCAGGAGGAGGAGGAGGAGGAGGAGGAGGAGGAGGAGGAGTGGAGGAGGAGGAGGTGGAGGAGGAGGAGGAGGCTTCCCCAGGATTCCCTTCGGGAATCATCCGTTCAAAATTGGAACGATGCAGAGAAGATGAGCATGGCCCCTGCGCAAGGATGACACGCGCAAATCGAGAAGTATATAGAATGCTTCAGTGCTGCGTGCGAGGAGGAGGCTTTCCCAGAAGGCGGCGGGCCTTCTCGGAAGCCCCCGCGGTCCTCCGAGAAGCGTTCTTCTGTCTCCGGGGCAGGCTCACAAAAATTTCTGCGAAGGTCTGCCCCTTCTCACTCCCCCCCCCCGGGCTCGCCGCTGATCCTTGGCCCCCCACCACTGGTGCCTCCAGCGCCGCTCGCTTTTTTGTAGTTTGTTTCTCGCTTCCTTTCTCTCTCTCCCTCTCTCTCTCTGTCTCTCTTTTTCTCTCCCTCGCCTCCTCCTCCTCCACATCCTCCTTCTCCTCCTCCTCCTCCTCATCATCATCATCATCCTCATCCTCATCATCATCATCATCATCATCATCATCATCATCATCATCATCATCATCATCATCATCATCATCATCATCATCATCATCATCATCATCCCCCTCCCCCCCCTCCTCCTCCCCTCCTCCTCGTCCTCCTCCTCCTACTCCTCCTCGAGCTCCTCCTCCTGCTCCTCCTCCTGCTCCTCCTCCTCCTCCTCCTCCTCCTCCTCCCTCTCTCTCTCTCTCTTGTTTGTTCTCTCTCTCTCTCTCTATCTCTCGTGGCGCGGGCCTGGGGGAGCTCCTGGCCTGTCACGATGCCAGTGGTTCGATGCCTCTCGGGGCCTACAGCGGTCGGCCAGAGGAGGAGGCCAGGGCCTCCCTGGACGAGAATGAAGAAGTCCGGAGCTCCACCGCTGGGAGGAGGAGGAGGAGGAGGAGGAGGAGGAGGAGGAGGATCGGGAGAAGGAGCAGGAGGAGGAGGCAGAGGAGGGCGAGGAGGTAGAGGAGGAGGACAAGCAAGAGGAAGAGGAGGAGGAGGAGGAGAGGAGGAGGAGGAGGAGGAGGGAGGAGGAGGAGGAGGAGGAGGAGGAGGAGGAGGGAGGACGAGGACGAGGACGACGGCGACGACAAGGAAGCGCAGGGAGGAAGGCATCCCCCCCAAACCCAAAACAAGCGAAGACCATTCAAGCTTCTCCACCTCGAACCTCCGAGGACGCCGTCCTGCCCCTGGGTCGACGAGGAAGAGGGGGGGATGTAGGAGGAAGTGAAGGACGACGACGACGACGACGACGACGACGACGACCACCACGACCACGACCACGACAACGACGACAAGGACGAGGGCGAGGAGCACGAGGAAGAGAAGGAGGAGGAGGAGGAGGAGGAGGAGGAGGAGGAGAGCGACGACGACGAGAAGGAGGAGGAGGAGGGCGACGACGACGAGAAGGAGGAGGAGGAGGAGGACGACGACGACGACAAAGACGACGACGGCACGGTCGTCGGCGCTCAAGCCAGTGAAGGACTCAACATGGCCAGGAGGAGCAGGGGGGCATCAGGCAGCAGTTGGACCACGATGTACTCCGATGGACAACATGGCCACGATGAAAGGAGAAGTCAAGACTACACTGGCCAGTGCGCTCTGCGATAGCGCTCTCACCTGAACAGCCGAGGTCTGGAAAAGGCTGCACACTCGACTCGACACAGGTCTCGGCTGCCAGATACATCATAGCATTACGATCGGTATTCGGAAAGGAGCACTTTCATGACGGACCCAGGTGGAGGACGAGGAGGTACTTGTAGAAGCCTATAAGCCGGCCTGGCATTTGTTTGACACAGGAAAAAATATTCTAACACGCATACGCATCATACACACCAGAGATCCAGAGTTACAGCGATTCGTGGACCGCTTTGGGGGGTGAAAGATGGATGGGGCCAGCTCATCCCGAAAAAACCTTAATGGTTTGGGTTGTTGGCCATGGGCAGCAAGATATCTCTGGATAGACGGACTGACAATGCTGCATGGGTTTCATTATGCCGCGTCATGGGTCCTAACGCAGCCCTGGATCTCATCAAGTAAGTTGGCCACAGGCACAGGCTTACCAGCTCGAGCAAATGCGAAGCCTTGAACAGGAAGTGGGAGCCCCGCCGACCTCTTTTGTCAAGACTGGCTGACTTGAACAAGGACATTGATTCATATGCCACGACCGTGGGAAGACTTTGGCGAGCATGAAGACTTAGTTGTGAGCGACACACGGAGACAGAGATGACGACAGACATAGTCGGGGCACCTCGTGTGCCAACTCTTAGGCAGGACTGCCACACCAAGGCCGCGCTGTTGAGGCACGCGAAGTACCGCAGCCCCAGGTGCCTGCAACACTGCCGCAGTATCGCCACCCCCATGAATGGTAAGGAGCTGCTGGCGGCGGATGAGGAGATGGCACGGCGGGGCACCAGGCAGCACAAATACGCCGGCTGCCAGGCTGGCAGAGCATTGCTGCCGCCGCGGCCTGAAGACTCTGCCGTGCACGCCTTTGCCACCAGGGCTCCCGCTGCTGTTCGCACTTCAGCCTCAGGAGACCCCCAGCAGCTGATGCTTCGGCGTCAGCTACAGCCTCAGAGCATCAGCTCCCTGGAGACCGACTCGGTGGGCTGGCCCTGCGGACTGCAGGGCAAAGGCTACGCGGAGCCGGACCAGTGCGCCTACGGCGTGACCGCTCGCAAGCCGACGTTGCTACTGGCGGTCCAACTTCCGCCCATCACGGCGACTGCTCCAGTCACCGCCACTGGCCGTCAGGACGACGGCCAGTGGCGAATAGCGGCCTTGAACATTAATTCTGGCGAATACTGTTGGCGAATGTCTGGAGACCTCCCAACGCGGCAGGGCCATAGTGCTGACAGGGAGAATTGGAGGCATGGCCGCTTCCCCCAGGTGCTCCTGGTCTGCGTGTACACACACACACACACAGGTCACGATTGCGAGTTCGAAGCAGGTCACGACTGCTGCTGGCCCGCCTGGGCCCTGGAGGCCCCATACCAATTCCCCTGTTTGGCCCGCCACCTGAAGTGGCCGAGGCGGATCGGGGATCTATCAGTCGGGAGCCACTATCTGTGCACCCTTCCGCGCAGCGTCGTTTTCTCTTTCATTCGCCATGTGGCAGTGGGATTTTCACACATCCCTTGTCGCAGTGGGATGTTCGCACACTCCTTTTCAATCTGCGCGCGCGTAAAGAAAGTCAAATCCCCTGTCTGGCCCGCCCTGGGACGTCAGCTGCCCACCCCGGCTTCTGCGGCGCGTCCTGCCGTGTGAGGCTCGTTCGCCGGCGGCTCCGCCTGTGCCGCTGGCGTCTCCCACCCGCTCCCCGCCGGCTCCCGTGACCTCCACGACCTCGGGACTCGAGACCTCCTGCCCCTCCCACGTCGTTGCGACTGCCGTGCGCCGCTCTCGAACGCCGTAGAGCCCGAGGTAGCAGGTGACAGGACGAGGATGAGGAGGAGGACGACGACGACGACGACGGCGACGACGAGGAAGAGGATCGAGGGGTGATTCCCCCACGACTGCGCTGAACATTGTGACACCTCGAACCGTGGCCCTCCAAGGCCGACGTCCTCCCACGCCCCTGGGCCGACGAGGAGGACGGGAGGAGGACGAGGAGGTGGAGGAGGACGACGACAGAGATGAGGAGCACGAGGAAGACGAGGAGGAGGAGCACGAGGAGGAGGAGGAGGAGGAGGAGGAGGAGGAGGAGGAGGAGGAGGAGGAGGAGGAGGGGAGCAGGAGAGAGAGGACGGCGGGTGGGAGAGACGAGGAGGCGAGGAGGACGACGTCAGGAGGAGGAGACCCCCCCCTCGCAGGATGGCCCGGCCACGCCGGCCCCCCCGCGGGGCCGCCGGCCGGGCCCGCCTTTGCTCCGCCGGCGCCCCCCGTGGTCTACCCGGAGTCGGGCCCCGCTTTCGAGAGCCTCACGAGGCGCCGCTGCGGCTCGCGGAGGGCGGGCGGCAGGGAGGAGGACGAACCAACAACACACACCCATACCCATAGGGGGATCGGAGAGGGCTACGGGTGCGTGTGGTCGGATGGGGGTCCCCGCTCGAGCGGGAGCGTTCCCCAGGGACCGACAGCCCGCACCCATACCCATAGCCAGTCCTCCTCCCAACGACCTCCCTGGGGGTATGGGTGTGTGTTGTTCGTTCGTCAGAAGACATCTGTGCTCCGCCTGGGTCGGACCAGGAGCTCGGAGGCCGAGAGGGATCTGGGGACCGACGTGGTGGCAGCAGCGTGCGTAGCGTTGCGACACGCACCGCGTTCTGCTGTAATAAAAAGACGACAACAACACCAACAGCAGCAGCAACAACAACACGGACAACACGAACACTAACAATAGTATGAATGTTCACACTAGCAAATCCACCAGCACCACCAACACCAACAACAATTACAACACCCACAACCACACAATGACATCAACCACCACAACGAGAACGGCAACGACAAGGACAGCAGCAACAACAACCACAACAACAAACAGAAAACCAACAGCAACGCCAACACCAACAACAGCCACAACAACAACACTCACACCAAAACCTCCACCAACAACATCAACAACAACATCAGCAACAACAATACTAACACTAATAACAACACCAAAGACAACAACAACAACAACAACATCATCATCATCAACAACAACAACAGCAACAGCAGCAACAACACCAACAACCATAAATAGGCGTTCTCTAAGATCTGGGCGTCGCACTTAGTTTCGCACCTGGCGTTTTCGCCCCGTTTCGGGCCGCGGGGCCCTCACTATAGGCGATCCGGCTCGAGGAGGGCCGGACAACGACTGGATCTGGACGTTTCGTGCACCGCTGGGCCCGCGGTGGCAATTCAGTGGCCATTCGGGGCCCCTCTTTGCGCTTCCCTGCAATCGTCGATCTCCCCCCGTCATTCGATTGCCCCTCCGATGCCCTCCGCCCGAGCACCAGTCGCTACGTTCCTCAAGCGCAGTGTCGCTTTCGCGAGGTCGCACACCAGGGAGAAGCGGGCCTCCTCGCGCCGCAGCTTTCAAAGTCACGGCGCCAGGGAAACGGTCCGGATTGGGGGCCGCAGTGTAAAAATTGCGGCGTCGGGGGTCTGTGCAGGAGGACAGCGAAGCATCGAGCTGCCAGAGTCGAGCATCGAACTTCGAGGATTGAGTTTTCCACCCTTTGGGGGCCAGGGGGCGCTCTCTCGTTGCACAGATCGCATCTGCTTCGAACTTCTGGACAGGACGCACCCTGGGACGGGTCCAGGGGGCGAGGAATTCCAGATCTGGGCGTCGCAAACAAATATGAACAAGCATTGCACACCGGGATCTTACACACTTTCTCCAACAGCAAGCCGTTTCCACGGCCCCGGGGCCCCAGCCCAGTGGAAGGAGGCGGGATCCTCAGGGAAAAAAAAGCATTGAACAATACGACTTCGCAGGGGAAGGAGAGATGGACAAAAAGAGGGGGGGGTAACGAGAAGGGAGGAGGAACTGTGAGAGAGAACGTAAGCTAGCTTGGCGAAGGGACCAGCCAGATGTAGCTGCGTGTAGCGCAGGGCGTGGACCTCTCTTCATGCTGCGCGCCGCGGGGCGGCTCGGATGCGGCGCTGCGGAGCGAGGGCGGTGAACTCCCCCCGTGGAGGGGTGTGATCCGCGTGAGGGTGTGCCGAAACGGGCGTGGGCCCGCACGCGCACACACTGAATCGCTTCGCTCACCCCGCGGGTCCATATTGTATCACTGGCGCTTTTTGTTGGCGTACTCGTGGCGAGTGAGAACGGGGCGGAGGAGGAGGAGGAGGAGGAGGAGGAGGAGGGACGGACGAGGGGAGGATGAAGATGAGGCCGCTCGATGGCTTCTTGTGGCATCCTTGAGGCCAAACTGGGTCGTGGACAAGACGCCTCTTTGACAGGCTTCTGGGGTCTCTTGGGAGGGCTCTCGGCAGTATTTCTGGGACCTCCCAGGGCCTCTTGGGAGCCTCTTGGGGCCTCTTGGGGAGATATTTTGCGCCTCCAGGGGCCTCTTGGGGCCCTAACGGCGGTCTCGGATGCCGTCTTTCAGGGAGGGTTCGACATGCCAGTTCGGATTCTCCCTCTTGGGGATCCTCTTGGGAGCCTCTGGAGCCCTCTTTGGGGGCCTCTTGTTGCCCTCTTGGGCTGTCTTGAGTCCGTCCTGTGAGCCTCTGGATCTGACTTGGGCCCGTCTTGGGGGCCCCTTGAGCCGTCTTGGGCAGTCGGGAGCCCGAAAATGCGCTGACGCAAACATCCGTCCAGAACCGCCGGAAGATCAAAAACATGTAGCCTCTGGGGGCCCTCTTGGGCCTGCCTGGGGCCAGTGGGGGATCTGTAGAGGCCTGTCGGGGTTGGGTTGCTCTCGGGCCGCCTCAAGGCCTGCCACCTGTCGGTTCCAACCCTTGGGCCCTCTTGGAGCTCCCCTTGGGATCTCTCGTGGGCAGCACGTGGAGCTCTCCCGTGCTACGGCAGGCCTCGCAGGAGGGGGTGCCAGAAGCGAGGAGCGAGGGGCCAGCCGGGCGAGGCAGGCGGAGGGACGACGAGGGGAAAAGGGCAGGGAAGAGGGCAGGGGGGAACACGGGGTTCCGACTACACAGTGAGGTCGAGGGTGGAGATCCGCAGCAGGAGGATACGCGCGAGAGGAGTCGGGGACGAAAGGCGAGGCCAAGTGCTCTATATATCTATAGAGATAAAATATATATATATATATATATATATATATACATATATATGTATATGTATGGAGAGAGAGAGAGAGAGAGAGAGAGTGGGAAAGCAGACCCTGTAGCGAGCAGGACAGATATGTAAGAAATGCCTCGGGGGGGCGTAGGACAATATATGGATATGGAACGAGACGATCCGACGATCACTGCCAGCTACAGTGGAGGCCCATACCAAGAAACACCCTGCTTGCTTCCAGGGTGCCCTGGGTTTCGATGGTTTTTGCGATGGGAAGCGTGACGTCCCCACACCAAAAGCCTATGGACGTCCTGGGGTCTCAGGGCTGGGATTCTCGTGGAAGGTTTCCTGTGGTCGGGCCTCTACTGTCTACTGTAGCGCAGGCCAGCGTCAACCCCGCAGGGCATCGTGGCGCGAATCCCTCTTCTGCCTCCCTCCTCCGCGCTCCTCGTTCCTCCTCCCCCCGCACGACGAGCACAGCGACGAAGCCGACCACGACAACAGCGACCGCTCACCGACGCCGAGTCGCCTCAGGCATATGCCGCGGCCAGGCCTCCTGCGCCCCGGCCCCCCCCGGCCCTCCCCGCCCGTCGCGGGGCGCGACGGAGCACGCCGGCCCGGCACCACGGCGACCGCGACCGCGGCGACGACGATGCGAGCAGTTTCTTTTTGGGTTGAGGGCATTGGGTGAAGTCTGAAGTGCCGTTTCGAGATGGATGTTCGAGGCTGGAGTCTGCAGGAGGTGATTCAAGCTTGATTCAAGCTTCGCGCGGCCCGCTTAGCTTCGACCGGAAGAGGTGCGCTCTCGACCCGCGGATCAAAAGAGTCTGCAAGAGGTGAGTCGCAAGTCGGATCGAGCTTCGAGGTGCAAGAGCCCAGCCACCCTCAGAAAAGGCTCCGGCGATGCAGGCGGCGGCGCCGGCGGCTGGGGCCTACCCCCCGAGAGGCTGGGCACACCGGAGCTGCCGCAGTTCTGGGAGTGGGTCACGCAGCTGCGGTCCGCGGCCGTGGCGGAGGCCCTCGGGGCGCCCCGTGCCCCCGCGCCAATAGCCACCCTCGGGCCACGAGCCGAGGAGAGCAGAAAACGGCATGGACATAAGCATAGCAACGAGAACACACATAAGCATACACATAGACATAGGCAATAGAGACAGACATGCACATAAACATACACATACGCATAAACATTAATATAAACGAAGAACACACGGCATAGGAAGCGTAAACTTCTGGAGCTTCGCGCGGGTTTCTGGGATCTGCGCTGGGATCCCCTGGCGGCGCCCGCGGCGCCGCCCCTCGCGCTCCAGGCCAGATCCAAGAAATCTGCGCGGACCTCCATCAGTTTATATCTATGCCGTTGTCTGTTCTCCGTTTTTGTGTTACGCTCATGTTTGTGTGTATGCTTATGCTTTTTGGTGTGTTCGTGTTTATGTTTATGCTGATGCTTTTGCTTCCTCTAACAAGGGGCGGCGGAGGGCCCAGGCCCCCTCGCGTCGTGGGGGTGTCCTGGCGAGGGGCCTGGCCATACATGCAGGTGCGAGCGCCGCGGTCGTGGGCAGCGCCTGCCGTCCATGGAGCTCCCTGCAGTCGATCACATGATCACCCTCGAGGAACCCCAATCAGTGGGTGCTTTGAAATTGTGTCGATAGAGAGATCGAGAAGGAGATCGACCGGGAACCCGGGAACCCAGAACCCACCGAAGTCGGACCGGAACAAATGACCAGGAACCCGGGAACCCAGAACCGGGAACCCAGAACCGGGAACCCGGGAACCCAGCCGGCCACCAAAATCGGCGGGACAGTTTCGTCAAAGTTTTTAATTTCCGCTAGGACCCCTTCCAGGTGCAAGCATTGATTGGGGAATTAAGGAGCCTCCTCCCGAAAGGCTGGGCAAGCGTTGTTGAAGCAACTTGCCGGAAAGCTGGCCTGGCTTCTTGAACACGTTCGCCCTCTAGCGTCAGCAAAGGAATCTGGCCCAGGCTTGTCCTAAGAAATTCTTCACGCTTCGCGTATCCCCACCAGCCCATCTCAAAACAGCAACTCTTGCGAAGCATGCCGACAGTCGTGTTTTTCAGGCGTGTTTCCGCCTGCCCCCGCATATCTCCGGGCCTCTCGTCCTGGTGTGAGTCGTTCGGGCCCTTCTTCCTGGTGTGAGTCGTTCGGGCTCTTCGTCGTGGTTTGAGTCGTTCGGGCTCTTCGTCCTGGCGTGAGTCGTTCGGGCTTCTCGTGGTGTGAGTTGTTCGGGCCCTTCGTCCTGGTGTGAGTCGTTCGGGCTCCTCCTCCTGGTGTGAGTCGTTCGGGCTCCTCGTGGTGTGAGTCGTTCGGGGCCCGCGTCGTGGTGTGAGTCCTTCGGGCTCCTCGTGGTGTGAGTCGTTCGGGCGCCTCGTCCTGGTGTGAGTCGTTCGGGCCCCTCCTTGTGGTGTGAGTCGTTCGGGCTCTTCGTGGTGTGAGTCGTTCGGGCCCCTCGTCCTGGTGTGAGTCGTTCGGGCTCCTCGTGGGGCCTCTTGGGGGCCTCTTGGAGCCTCGTTGGGGCCTCTTGGGGGCCTCTTGGGGGCCTCTTGGGGGCCTCTTGGGGCCTCTTGGGGGCCTCTTGGGGGCCTCTTGGAGGCCTCTTGGGAGCCTCCTGGGGGCCTCTTGGGGCCATCTTGGTGCCTCTTGCGACCTCCTCAGAAGCGCAAATGAGAGCTGCCCCCTGAGAAGGACAAAATGAGCCCAAAACCTTAGTAAAATCAATGATTTTGCTATGAAGGACGAGGAGCGCTGCCCCCTCAGAAGGCCAAAATGGGGCCAAAACCTCGTAAAATCAATGTTTTTGGCTTCACAGAAGAGGAGAGGGACTTATCTCAGCCCCCCCGTCGGGGCCAGAATCCTCGTGAGGGTCGTCGTTTTTTAGCCCTCCCAGGAGTCGAAATTGACCCCCCTGACGACCCGCCGGACCCCCTCTCCAGGCCCAGGGGGAGGGGGTAGGGGGAGGGGTAAACCCCTCCCCGAAGGGGAAGAAGGGGGGTTGAGGACAGAGCGGGCTCTCTAAACCACTCACGCCCAAAGGGCTGGTGGGACTTCTGGGAAGCTGGCCCGGATTTCTTGAGCGACAAGCCTCTTGATCAAATGGTCGGCTGTATGGGGCCACGGAACGCGTGAGTCGGGGGTGGACAGACCTCCTCCCTGACACGTCGATGAGCGAATTGGCTGTTTTCGGTTCGCGATAGGGCGTCGCGGCCGTCATTTTTGCGGGTCCAGGTCCGTCGGTTTCGGTCCCCGGCCGTTTTCACTAAAGGGTGGTTTACTAAAGGGAGGTTTGTCCACCGCCGAGTGAGGGGTGTGCCAAAATGGGCGAGGAGCCGAAAGTGGCCGCACCAATCGGAGTCTCGGGAGGAGGTCTCTATGGGGCCGCGAACCGTGTGAGGGGCGTGCCGACTTGCACATACTGCAAGCGGGGAATCGCAAGTGGCCGCGCCCATTGGGGCCTTAGGTTGAGCTCCCGATGGGGCCACGAACCGTGTGAGGAGTGCCGAAATGGATATGCGGAGGGCTGAGCTGAGGCAGCGATGGGAAGATGGGGGGAGGGAGGAGGGGGGAGGAGAGGAGGAGGTGGAAGACCCTGGTGCTGCTGATTCAAGACGAGGACCCGTCATCACAGGATGCTTGGGGCAAACACGGCTGACGATGTTTCTGCCTTTTGGGTTTCCAGGGGCGCTTATTGGGCCTCGGGGCCGCCAGAGGATGACTCAGGATGAAAAGCCGTTCGCTGGGAGGGAGTCCAGACCTCTGGGGGTCCATGTCGGGGGCCTCGGGAGGAGGGCTTCCGGAGGCCCTCCGAGGAGGTCGGCGCCTCCAGAGGGGACGCCTCCCGGAGGCCTCCCCATCCCCCTTCCGAGAGACCCCCCGGAAGGTTCAGGGCGCGTCCCTCCCGAAGGAGGACCCAGAAAGAACAGCATCCAGAGAAGGAAGAGGTACCCATACCTCTACCACCTCGCCCGTTTTCCCCTTTTGGGGGCCTCCATGGAGGCCCTCGTCGCCACCGTTGGATTGGCCTCGAGATTCTGGTCAGCACGCACCCTAGGAGAGGTCCGGGGGGTAGCGGTATGGGTACCTTTGGGTTCCCCAATTATCGAGTTGGGAGGCATAATCATATCGTCCATGTTGCCGCACATGCTGACGGTGATTGCTTCATAGTCGTTCCCTGTATCTTCCCATCCGTTCCCTCTCAGCACGATACAGTCAACGCGCCTAGTAAGAGACGCGCGCCTTCATCTTCGGTATCCTTGCATCCTTGCCTCTGCGGCCCGTCCTCTGCATTTTTCACGGGCCGCCAGCCGCCCAAGGAAAATTCCATTTCGGCCTCCAAGGGTCTTGCGTCCTTACCAACCCGTCCTTGATACATGTTTTGACTGTATTGCTGCCCGCGTTGGAGGCGCTAACAGAGAAGCCCTTGCGAAGAAACGCACTGTTCGCCTCCAGGGTGCCCTGGGTTTGGGGGGGGCATCCGTGGACGTCCTGGGGCCTCGGGGCCGGGCCTCTTGTGGGGGCTCTCTTTCGGGAGCCCGGAGACGGCCTCGTTTTTCGTCGCTTTCGGCCTCTCGGGGCCCTCGCCGGGCCTCGGGAGCGTCCACAAAAACGACTCGGGAGGAAGAACCTGTCCTGGGGAAGTGGTCGGGGGGTCGGAGGCCCGCGTCTCGAAAAAGTCGAGACGTTGGGGGGGGGCTTGAGACGGGGGGTCAATGCAAGCGGGGGTCAGCCAGAGCGCCAGATCTTGCAGGATCCTGCAGGGCCGGGGTGGCATTGACATGGGTTTGGGTGCAGGATCCTGCAGGATTTTGCAGGATCCTTCGCATTGACCCCGGTTAGGGTGCAGGATCCTGCAAGATCCGACTGACCAAGGGTCTGGATTGACCTGGGTCAGAAGATCCCTGACTCTTGTGGACTGGCTTCCACTGTAATGATTTCGCCAGTCGAGAGCCCCCTTGCATCGGGAACATGGTGTTGCCGTGCAGGGGAGCATGTGATCGAGAAACCTCCTCCCGAAAAGCTGGGCCAGCGTCGCTAAACCAACTTGCTGGAGAGCTGGCCCAGCTTCTTGAGCACGCTCGCCCTTTCCAGCGTCAACGACAGAAGTTTGCCCAGGCCTGTTGTAAGACATATCCAGGACATTGGTCCAGATGTCTTAGGTAACAGCGTTCTTGATCATATGTTCGGTTGTGCCTCATGTTGCGTTGGTCGTGCTGAGGAGGGATACACGCTGGTCGTTGAAAGTAGGTATTTCTGTATTCCCAGATCCCAGATCCCAATCTACTTCAAGCGCCTTCCTGCTTCAAGAATCGGCCTGGTCTTGATATGTGTTGTGCTATTCTCTGGGAGGGCCCGAACCCAATCTACTTCATCCGTCTTCCTGCTACATGTTTTTACCTACAGCCGGACCGAGGTAGAAGGTCGAGGCATGTTCGGAGAGGGTGCCCCAGTGTTCTTCGCGTGTGTGTGTGTGTGTGTTGGATGTTTTTGTGCATCCTGGGTAGGATACCCTTGGATGCTCTGTTTTGTTTTGGCCGACGGAGGGTCTCATGTCCTTGAAGGATGTCATCCTGTCCCAGGTCCGACTGTAGAGGTGCTGCCTCTGCCACAGGCCCCGCCGGACAACAACATTGTCGGGCTGCCGATGGAGGATCCGATGAGGCTGCCCGCCGCTGGCGGGGTGGCCGGCTCGAGCTGGACGGGGCCAGGACGAGGACAAATCAAAGGCGTTCACGGTTCGGTCGGTCAGGTTGCGTCGCCGTCGGTTGCGTTCGGTCGATGGGGTTCGGTCGAGTACTGTGTCGTTCCGCCCCGCCGTGCCTCTCTGGGCCACCTCCAGGCTGCCTTCGGCCTGTCGATTTCGGTCGGTTTCAGTTTCGCTGTCGGTTCGGTGGGTTTTCGGTTTTGCTGTCGCCGTGCACGGCCTTGCAAGTCCATTCCAGAGCGTTCCACAACGTCACCACCCACCAAACCGCCCCAACCCAGCCCGAAGGCCTCCAGTTGCCCTGCATTCCCATCCATTCCCAGTGGAGGGGGGGCGTCGGGGAACACTGAGAAAATGCATGCAGAGCTCGTACCCCTCCAACCCGAAATTTTGGCATTCGGGTCAGGTTGGGGTGGTCCGGCAGGTCGTCAGAACGCTCCCGGAGCATTCCGGGACGCTCCGAGAAGGCCGCGGCGCCCGCTGCGTCCTCCAGATCCGCAGGACCTCAGGGAGTCCCGATGTTTTATCCTTGCCCGATCTTGTCCTCGCCCTGGCTTCGTCTCATCGAGGGCGCGACGGAAGGTGGGCAGCCAGCCTCTATCTCCTCTCCCCCCCCGTCTGCTGCCCCTGCCCCCTCCCATCGGCGTCTCCCAGGCTCCCCTCCCCTCTCTCCTTCTCCCCTCCTCCCGCGCCCCTCCTCATCCCTCATCCCTCTCTCCTCCTCGTCGTCCTCCTCCTCCTCCTCCTCCTCCTCCTCCCCCTTCTCCCCCTTCTCCTCCTCCTCCTCCTCCTCCTCCTCCTCCTCCTCCTCCTCCTCCTCCTCCTCCTCCTCCTCCTCCCCTCCTCCCTCCTCCTCCTCCTCCTCCTCCTCCTCCTCCTCCCTCCTCCTCCTCCTCCTCCTCCTCCTCCTCCTCCTCCTCCTCCTCCCCTCGTCGGCCGAATTACACCCATCGAAAAACTTAAGGAGAGGCGAAAAGGTTCGTGGGTTTCATATTTCGCCCAAGAAACTCAAGATTTTGGACCGGACCCTGGGCGTCCTCCTGGAGCTCCTCTTCTTCGCAGAGTGCTCGTACACCTGGACCTGGACTGCTGCTTAAGGAAACGCCCGGAGTGAAGTCGATCGTCTCAGCGTGAAATCCTTTTCGCTCTGAGCTCGGGTTCACAGGACGTGGCCATCCCTCGAGTCTCGAGCCCTCGAGCCATCGACCCTCCCCCTATTCGTGCGCCCCTCCTCGCTCTCCCGCCCTCCAGCGCCAGCTGGCCCGAGCTCCGGCCCCCGTCGGCCAGCGCCGCTGGCGCATCCCGCGCGCCGCCTCCCCTCCTCCTCCTCCTCCTCCTCCTCCTCCTCCTCCTCCTCCTCCTCCTCCTCCTCCTCCTCCTCCTCCTCCTCCTCCTCCTCCTCCTCCTCCTCCTCCTCCTCCTCCTCCTCCTCCTCCTCATCCTCATCCTCATCCTTCGCAAGTGTTTAGATAACTTTGTGCCTGGCAGCCTCCAGTCCCAGCTCCTCGTCAAACTCTTTCGTACTGACAAATGTATGATTCTAAGGTGCGCAGGCTGATGGTCGCGATTAATTATCCGACCCTTGAGGCCACTGTAATCGCTTTGTTGCAGGGCACGGATGAAGCTACTGTTGTTACTGGTCCCAGGCCAGTTTGCTTTCTCGAGCTCGAGGGACAGGCGTTGATCACCCCAAAGTAGAGCGTCGGAGCAGCAGCTGTTTGGGAGTAAGCACGGCCGTGCGCCGACGTCTGCCGAACGGCGCCGTCGCTGGCGCCCTCCTGTCGAGGAGTGCCGAGTTCTCGCATTGAGGGGGTTACCCCGATCTTCTCCCCAGACCGTCGGAGCCTCGGTCTCAGTGGAGCTTTACCTTACCTTACCTTACCTTACCTTACCTTACCTTACCTTACCTCCTCCCTCCTCCTCCTCCTCCTCCTCCTCCTCCTCCTCCTCCTCCTCCTCCTCCTCCTCCTCCTCCTCCTCCTCCTCCCCGCTCCTCCTCCGCGCCTCCCCCCGTCGGCCGCGCGAGGGAGGCGCATGCCGCCGCTGCCGGGCGCCGTCGCCGCCCGCCGCGGCCGGCTGCCGCGCGCCGCGCGCCGCGCGCGAGGGCCGACGCCTGCGCGGCCGGGCACCTCGTGCACGCCTTCGCCGCCCCTCACTGCTCATCGCGGCCCGCGGCCGCCACGGCCGGCTCAGGGCCCTCGCCAGGGCAGTGGCCGAGGCGCCGCCGCCCCCTGCGGGCGTGTGTAGCGACGGCCTGTCCCCCGCTCCGGTCGCCGGCGCGCCAGGGCTCTCTGGGCGCGGCGGCGCGGCAGCCGCCGCCTGCCGCGCCCTCTGGGCTCCTCCGTCGTCGCCGCCGCCTGCCGCGCCCGCGGCTTTTGCGCTCCGCCGCCTTCGAGGCCGCGCTGTGTCCTGGCGCGCCCCGTGGGCGCCAGCCCGGGCCCCCCGCGCCCCCACCCGCGCGGCCGCCTGCTCGGCCCCCGCTCGCGCTCCAGATTCCCCCATGGCCTCCCTGCATGCAGTGCCTGGGGCCGCCGGGAGCGAGCAGGCGCCGCGCGCGGAGGACCGCCTCCGGCGCGGCCTTTTCGCCCCTCTCAGGCTGAGGCTGCCGTGGGCGCGCCGGGGCCACCCGCGGGCCTCTGGACCGGAGAGGTCGGCCACCTCCCCAGCAGGAGGAGTGGAGAGGTCGGCCACCTCCCAGCCAGGGCCGCCCCCTCGCGCAGCCGCCGCCCCCCGATGGGCCTCCGGCTCTGCACGATTGTGCGCTCCGCTTGTCGGCCACGTTTTGAGAGGCGTGGCTCTGCTTGGAAGTGGGGTCGTGCGGAGCATGCTCTGCATCACCCTGCTCAGTCCTCCTCTGCTGTGCCTTGTTCGAAGGCGGCGCCCTACCCCGTGCGCAATTCGTGCTTCCTTAGTTTTCTGCGCGAGTGGGCGAGACCAGGACACCCACCCGCTCCTCATCTCGAGGCGCTTCGCACCCGATCAGTAGGCGTCCTCGAAACACGGCTCCCTGCTTGTCTAGTGTTTCAGTGCAGGCCGCGGCCGCCGTAGTCTTTTCCCCCTCTCTTGCACGCGGGCTAATTCGCCATGCGGTTACCCCGAGACGCTACTCACCGGAGCAGCTTCTCTGCCTCGCCGCTGACAACAAAACAGTTTCAGTGTAGGCGTGTCGCTGACCACCGCGAGGAGCACCGTGTCGCGAAAGGCGACCAGGTTTCTTCTGTCAGCTCTGCTGCAGTTCCACCAACTGGCGCATCTCGGGTTACCTCATGGTCATGCTCTTGCCACGGCAGGTCGGCATGTACGACCTTCCGCCGCGCGCCCTTCTGCGATGCGTATCCTCAGCGCGCTCACCAGTCTTACGTCGGGCATGCACCTCCACTGGGGAACGATTCAAAACTAACCGACCGAAACATTGTCAAGAGGGGCCGCCGCCTCGCGCAGCCGCGGCCCGAGGGAACGGCGGCTTCCAGCTCGACGTGCCACTGCGGCGCGCCCTCTTGCGAGCGGCACCTCACCCTGAGCCTTGGGGCATCGCTCGGACGTGTCCTCGAGATCCTCGGGGCGGCACAGGGGGGGGTGAGGAGCAGGGGGGGGGGATGTCATGGCGGGGGCCAGGGCCATGACGTTTCCCCAGATTTCACGGCGCCTCTTTGCGTTTCAATGCGTCCCCGCCCCCCCCTTGGGCCGCGCACGTGCCGCCGGCCATGATTTGCGCCCCCCCTCTTGGACGCCACCCTCGTAGCCGCCCCCGAGATCCTGGCGCCTTCACTTTTGCGAGCCGGGCGGTGTCGCCCTTTGTTCGAGCCCCGGGGCCCTCATGATCGCTCCGGCTCCAAACATGGCGCCGAAAGGTGGGGTCGAGGGTTCTGGGCGTGATTTGTTACGATTTGCTTTTTGTTGAAAGTATGTTTTTCCCTACGTCGGATCTCAGGGGTGCGCGTTTCTCGGCAACGACCATCGAGGAGCGTCTTGGACCACGTTGCGGAAAAATCGCACGGAGCCGAGGAGTGCACGGGGAATGGGCCTGGAGCGACGGCAAGGAGCACCCACCACCGCCTCGAGACGCCGAGATGCAGAACGCCTCCTGCAACGCGGGGATGGCCAGTCATCGGCCAGTCTTTCGACACCCTCAGCAGCCTCCTGCGTCCTGCGGCAGCGGGCAACCTTCTTCCGCGAGGACGCAGGGGAGCAGATCGAGGGCGGGAACCGAGGCAAGGAGTGAGGACGAGAGGGGTCGGGGAGAGGAGGCAGCGGGAGGATGGAGAGAGTGAGTGAGTGGGAGCGGACGAGCAGAAAGAGGGACAGGGGAAGGCCGATGACGAGCAGGAGGCACCGCTTCAACGCCCTCGGTCCCGCGCGGCGCTGGTCCGCAGAGGCGTCCCTTCACGGACAGCTTCCGGGACAGGGAGAGCTACGTCACGCCGGACTCTCCGGGCTTCTTCGGCCATCCAGGCCAGCCCGTGCAGCGCGCGGCATTCTGCAGCGGTGCGACGCGAACAGGCGCAGCGCCAGGTGTGGCGGCGCGCGCAACTTGGCATCGCTCGGACGTGTGCATTTTTCTTTCGGCGGGGACTATCGAGGAGCATCCTTGATCATTTGGCGAAAAAGCCACGCACGAAACCGAACAAAAACACAGGGAATGGACGTCCGAGCGGTGGCCAGGCAAGTTGCTGGCGCGAGGGGGATGCCTTCTAAGAAGGCAGGGGGCTGCTCAGAACGCGTGGGCCTTCTCAGAAGGGCCCGGAGGCTTCTGGCAGGGCGTCTTAAGAAGGGAGGGTTTCTGAGAAGCCGTCTGCCGTCTGAGAAGCCCTCCGTCCTTCGCAAAACGTCGCCCAACTCGCGCCACCCTTTTTTCATCTCCGCCAATGCGTAGCGCAGCATATAGCCGTTCTGCACGCATCACGGTTCACTTGTTTGCACACATGCGCATGAGATTGTGTGAGACTTGGCACAAGTGAGTTGGACGTGTGGATTGACCATGTGAGATGTTCCAGAAAAGAGTTTCTCCGACGAGGATCGAACCGAAGGAGTTGCCATCTCTTCCTCGTCGGAAGGCGGCGGATGTAAAATGAGGCCGCGTCTGCAGAAGTTGAAAAAGCGCCCCCCAAGAGATGGCAACCTTTTGGGGTTCAGGGTTTCCGGAATCCGTTATGCAACCTCAAGCGAGCCCATAGCCTGAGCGTCCCTCGGCACCGTCACGGACCGTCTTGACTAAAACGAGCACAACATGCAAGTATTACTAATTCGGCTCTTTACGCGCACATTGGCCTTTGGAAGGGCTCCACGCACCAGGGGCCACAAGAGCAATTCCCATTCTGGGGCAACAGAAGCAGCCAAGACGGCCCCACCACTGCCTAAGAGAGTACAACATTGCCCCCAAATGGCCACATAATGACCCCAAGAGGGCCCAAGCCGACCCCGAGATGGCCGCATGAGAGCCACACGACGAAGGAGAAAGAGGAGGCCACACCGCGGAGGGAGAGGAGTAGAAACCATGTTCCGTCATAGCTTTGTCGCATGCCCCCTTCGCGGCAGATAGCCGAGCAGGGAGTAGCAAGTGGATTGCAGCTACGTTTGCGTAGCAGGGTCATCATCATACAAGCAACAGTCATTAGTAACAGTGTACTCATGTTCCCTCATCCTCCTCCCTTCTCCTCCACTGGACCTTGGGCTCCCTCCTCCTCCTCCCCCTCCTCCTCCTCCTCCTCCTCTTCCTCTTCATCTCTTCCCATCCCCCCTCCTGGTCGGGGCCTTCTTGCGAAGGGAACTTAAAGCGAAGCCACTTGTTTGTGGCCCGTCTGGCCCAGCCCCGACCGATCCAGCCAGTGTCCCGTAGACAATAATAGCAGACGGCGCGGTTGGGGGTTTCACTTTCTCGCGCGCCGGGCGTCCGGATGAGGTGAACTCGCGAAACAAGGTGCTTCAAATAAGAGGGCATGCGCAGGCATGACGGCACGACTCGGACACATTTTGCAGACACCTTGCGCACGAGAGCACATACCTCGTATACAAGTGTGCGCGCATGCTCTGTATAGCATGCGACGCTGTGCCGTGCTATTGGGCAGTGCTGGCCTGAGACGGCATTGCTCTCACCAAGGGCGTCAAGAGCGTCAGCACTGCTCGCATACGGTGCAGCGCTGCGCCAAGGCTGGACCGTGTGCTGTGCTGATTTACGAGCAATGCGCGCACTCGCCCTCTCTCCCGCTCTCTCTCTCTCTCTCTCTCTCTCCGTGTGTGTCTCTCTCTCTCTCTCGTTATCTCTCATTCTCTCTCGTTTTCTCTCTCTCTCTCTCTCTCTCTCTCGCTCTCTCTCTCTCTCTCTCTCTCGCTGTTTGCGCATTCGTACCCAGAGATGTTTACCAACGTGGACCCCAAACAGTGTGCTCCTGCACTCTGGGTGCGTAAAGTAGGTGGTGCACGCTATGCTGTGCAAGCTGTTCGTGGTGCAGTTCACGTGGTGCAGATAGGTTGTGCAAGCCACGCGGCGTAGGCTTTGAGGTGCAAACGGAATTGTCTAAGCCGTGTAGCGCAAGCAGTGTGGTGCAAGCCGCGCGAAGCGCCCGCGAGCCGCCCACGGCCGCCCGCCAGCCGAAACCACGACACACCCGGCCAGCGCACGGGGCGCCCAGAAGACGGCCAAGGCCGGCCCACGCCGGCACACGGTACGCCCACACAGACCAGGCGAAGCCCGACCACACCCAGCGCATCCGCAGGGTACCAACTTGGACCCCCTAAGTGCAATCACGAATTCGGGAATCAAAATAATGGTACGCGAACGACGAAGAAGGAAGAAGGACGGCGACGCCGACGACGACAACGACGAGGGAGGAGGGAAGACGAAGACGACGACAACGACAACGAAGACGACGACGACGGCGACGAAATAGGAGGGACGACGACAAGACGCCGACGACGGACGACGACGACGACGAGGGAGGAGGATAACGACGAGGGAGGAGTGATGACGACGACGACGACGACGGCGACGAAATAGGAGGGACAACGACGAAACGCTGACAAAGACGACGAGGGAGGAAAGACGACCACGGCGACAACGACGACGGAAGCGACGACGACGCCAAGACGACGACGACGACGACGACGAGGAAAGACAGAAGACGACGACGGCGACGACGACGACGACGACGACGACGAGGGAAGAGGGAGGACGACGACGACGACGACGCAAGAGCGCGCGCGCACGCTTTTGTTGAAAATCCGTGTTGCGAAACCTTGTGTTTGTGTAGGTTTTTTGGACGCGCGATTTTGAAATCCTTCCGAAACCGATGGGTTTTGAAGGATTTCGGCGTACGCGCGCGACGACGCGCGCGTCTGCACTTCGTCCCATTTTTTGCAGAGGATTGTCGCGACGGCACACGCGCAAGGGCGTTCGACAGATTTCGACATGCGCGCGCGACGCCCGTTTGGTAGCATGTTTTGAAAATCTTGAAAAAATAATGGTTTTCTTCAGATTTCGCAAGAGCTCGCGCGGAAGCTTTTTTAGCGAATCAGTGTTGCGAAACCATGTGTTTTGGAAACTCGATTGCGAAATCCTTCCGGCACCGAAGGTTTTTGAAGGATTTCGGCATGCGCGCGCGACGACGCGCGCGTGCGCACTTCGTCCGTTTTTTTGCAAGGGATTCGTGAAAAAGTGCTATACTAGGACAAACATGTCACCGCATAGTGCTTGTTTTTTTTTACCAGGGAACCTCAGAGGGGGGAAACCGGCCTGCCTGGGATGGTACGATTTCATATTTAGGATGGACGAGTGTGCATTGTATATATACATATATATATATATGTATATATATATATATATATATGAAATTATACTATCCCAGAGGGAAGCGTTAAGTCCGGGGGAGGGGGTAGAGTCTATTCTCTTTTTAGAAAGGAGAATATATGAGGTACGATGTTCACACTGCCGAACTCGAAGATGACAGCTCCATTGCTATCGCAATCGTCACACCCACCCATCCGAAACCTGGTTTGCAAAACCCACGCGGCGGCGATTGCGATGACTGCTTGGCGGTGGCTGGCGCGTCGCTGCGGCCGCGCGCGCAGGTTCGCGAGCAGAGCGGCCAGCTAGCCTGGCGCGACCGTGCTGACCGCTGGGGAACCCCCAGCGCGTTTCGCAGGCCGCGCGCGCTAGCGCGCAGGCGCTTCAGTGCAAGTCGGTGATTCGGTCGGGCGCGGTATCATGGCGACGTCGACAACGGCAGACACGATGATGATTGTAGCGACGCTGGTAACGACGATGACGACGACGATGACGACGGCAAGGCCAATGATGGCGCCGATGTTGATCACGCCGGTGGCGATGATGGTGTCCACGCGTCGGTGATGAAGGTTTCGGGGGGATTTCGGCATGAGCGCGCGGCCGACGGGCGCGAGTGGCCCTCATGGGACAATTTGACAGGGATCCCCTCCCCGCCCAGCACGCGCGCAAGGGCGCCCGAATCATTTCGACAAGCGCGCGCGAGAGCCCCGTTTGGTCGCATGTCTTTATATATTGGAAACATATGAGGGAACGAATTCGCAAGAGCGCGGGCGCAGATTTTTGGTGCGATATAAGGTTACCTACAAACTAGGCGTATGTTATATATATATATATATATAAATATATATATATATATATATATATATATACACATACATACCTTGACAGTCGACTTGGGCATCCTTGCGAAACCTGGAGGTTTGATGGATTCTGGCATGCGCACGCGACGACGCGCGCGCGTAGACTTCGATTTTTCTTTGGGGGGGAGGCAATGGTGTGTTGAACATCGACGCCTTTTGACACATGACTGTGCTCGCGAAGTGTTCATTGCGGAGGATGGTGGGGGTGGTCGAATTCAATTTGGGCGGGATGTACGAACTCATATTGTAATGAACGGTGGGGCAGGTCTATCTGTAACTTGCGCATCCCCAAAGGGAGGTCGATAATCCCAGCATCGGGAAGGAGATCCTCATTCCTTTTTTGGAAAGGAGAACTTACGCGAGGCAATCGACGTTGTGCAACCTAAGTGGTGCAGTCCATGTGTTTGCTATCCACGTGGTGTATTAGATTTAGGACAATCAACGTGTGTCAATACATTGGTTTAGTTATTTGGTGCAATCTATCGTGTGCACACTTATGTGATGCAATCTGTGTGGTGGAATCCACCACCGCTCAATTTGAAGTTGCCCGCTCCACTGCTCGCGCAAACACCCCACCCACCCACCCGCAACTTCGTTTGCAAACTCCATGCGGCGGCGATTGCGATGAGTGTTTGGCGCTGGCTGGTGCAGCTCTGCGGCCGCGACAGCCCGCGCATGCACGCGCGCCCAGCGGCCAGCTAGTTTGGCGCGACCGACGCAGCCGCGGTGGCGCTGACCGGTGGGCGCATCCAGGCGGGCACTTCAGTGCGAGTCGGCGACTTGGGCGGGCGCGGTATCATGGCAATGTCGTGACACGGTGATGATACAGCGATGTTGGTGACGATGTTGACAACGACGAAGGCGCGGCCAGTGCGGGCGCCGATGCTGATCACGCCGGCGACGATGACGGCGTCCTCGCGTCGGCGATGAAGGTTTTGGAAAGAGTTCGACATGCGCGCGCGGCCGACGCGCGAGAGTGGCCCGCATGGTAGTATTTGACACGGATCGTGCTCCCCTCACCATGTGCGCAAGGGCGTGTGAATGACGGCAGGCGGCGCGAGAGGCCCGTTTGGCCGAATTCCATGAACACGATGAGGAACTATGGTTTCTCAAGAATTCGCAAGAGCGCGAGCGCACACCATGTGACGTTGTATGTTGTTTTGATATTACGTTTTGCAATCGCTACGAAGCCGCAGGTTTTGACTGATTTCGGCATGCGCGCGCGACGATGCGCGCGCGCGCACTTCCAAATAATTCTCGCGACGGCACGCACGCAAGGGCGTTCGAACGTTTTTCTTATTTGGTCGCATTTTCTGTTAGCATTTTCTGGTAGCTTCGCGTCGCGCGAAGCTCGTTTGGTAACATTTTCTGATTTTTCCAACGAAAAAACCATGGTTCCCTGAAGAATTCGCAAGAGCGCGCGCACAAGTTGTTGTTGACAATTCGTTTTGCGAAACCCTTTTTTTATCCGTTTTGGATACTCGATTTTGAAATCCTTACGAAACCGAAGGTGTTTGAAGGATTTCGGCATGCGCGCACGACGACGCGCGCGTGTGTACTTCGTCGAATTTGTTGCAAGGGATCCTTGAAAACTTCAGATGTGCGATACACGAGTGTGCGCACATGTTTTTGCTGAGGGTGGCTGGGGGGCCGATACCGGCTGGTGGAATGGTACGAGCTCATATTTAGGATGGGCGATGGGGCATCATCATATGTAGATAGCAATACGAACTAGGGGACGAGATGGGATAACCCCGGGGGACACCCACTCACCCGCAAGTTGGTTTGCAAAACCTGTGAGGCGACAGTTGTGATGCCTGCCTGGCGCTGGCTGGCGCATTGGTGCGGCCGCGCCAACGCGCGCAGGTTCGCGCGCAGAGCGGCCAGCTAGCCTGGCGCGACCGATGCGGCCGCGGTGGCGCTGACCGCCGGGGACTTCCCAGCGGATCGCGTCTCACAGGCCGCGCTGACGCGCGGGCACTGTTGTGCGATTCGGTGAATTGGGCGGGCGCGGTGTCATGGCGGCGTCGACAACGGCAGACACGACGATGATTGCAGCGATGCGGTGACGACGAAGGCAAGGACGACGGCAAGGCGAATGATGGCGACGATGCTGATCACGGCGATGGCGATGATGGTGCTCACGCGTCGGTGATGAAGGTTTTGAAGGGATTTCGACATACGCGCGCTGCCGACGGGCGCGAGTGGCCCGCATAGTTCCCCAATCAGCGCTTGCATTGAAGGGGTCCAAGCGGATATCGAAAGATTTGGCGAAAGTTCCGGGCCGATTTCGGTAGGCGGCCAGGTTCCCGGGTTCCCGGTTCCCCGCTTCCCGGGTGCCTGTTTGTTGACACCGGGCCGATTTCGGTAGGGGATCCCAGGTTTCCGGGTTCCCGATTCCCCCGTCGATCTCATTATCGATCGGTCTCACCATCGATTTCCTTATTTATTTCTCCAACGATCTATCGATATCACAATCGAGTGCACAATCGATACCGCAATCGATACACGATCGATATCACGATAGATCGCACGGGCGATCTAACGGTCGATCTCACGATCGATTTTCATTGAATCGACTTCACTATCGGTCTCACGATCGACGTTATTACCGTCCTCACGCTATGAATCCCGCTATCGATCCCACGATCTCACTATCCATATTACTATCGAACTTCTGGTTCTGGGTTCCTGGGTGCCCGTTGGCTGATTCGGGGCTGATTTCTGTGGGCGGCGGGGTTCCCGAGTTTCTGGGTTCTTGGTTTTCTCGTCGATCTCCTTATCGATCGGTCTCACCATTGATCTTCCCACCAACCGCTCTATCGAGCGCACGATCGATTTCACAATCGATACCACAATCTATTCACTATCGATATTACTATAAATCGCACGGGCGATCTAACGATCGATATCACGATCGATCTCACTGAATCGATTTCTCACGGTCGACGTTTCTATCGGTCTCCCTATCGATTTCCCACCTCACCTGACCTCTCGCTGCAAGTTCCGACTCCCACCACCCACCAGCAGCTTTTGATTCCCATTCTTCCACCTCCAGCTTTCGACCTCCACCTATCGACTTCCAACCCTACCTGACCGGCATTCAGCTTCCAACTTCCGGTTTCCGCGATCCACCAACAGTTGATGACATCCAAAGTCCCATTTCCATCTTTCGGCCTTCACCTTTGACCTTTCCACCTCATCTGGCCGACCTCCGGCTTCTTACTTCCGACTCCCACCATGCACCATTCGCTGTCGATTCCCAATCTTCCACCTCCAGCCTTCGACCTCCACCTATCGACTTCCCACCTCATGCTACTGGCATCCAGCTTCCAACTTCCGACTCCCACCATCTACCCACAGCTGCCGACTCAAGTTTTGCACCTCCAGTTTTCGACCTCCACTTGTCGACTCCCACCTCACTGACCGACATTCAGCGTCCAATTTCCGACTCCCACCATCCACCGACAGCTGGCAACATCCTACTTTCCACATCCAGCTTTCGGCCTCCACCTATCGACCTCTCGCATCGTGCGGCCGACCCCCAGCCTTCAGCTTCAGGCTCACAGCAATCACCACCAGTTACCACCATCCAGGCTTCCACCTCCAGCTTTCGATTCCCATCCTCGCATGATCGCCAGCTTCACGGACAACACCAGATGCGGCGCTCCGGCGCCGCACCCGCAGCACCCTAGACGGTGCCCATGTGCGGGCGTGCTTCGTGCTTCGTGCTCACAATTGATTCCGCTATCGATCCCACGATTTCATCATCCATACCGCTGTCGAACTCCTCGCCAGCTTCACGGAAAACACCAGATGCGGCGCTCCGGCGCCGCACCCGCAGCACCCTAGACGGTGCCCATGTGCGGGCGTGCTTCGTGCTTCGTGCTCACAATTGATTCCGCTATCGATCCCACGATTTCATCATCCATACCGCTGTCGAACTCCTCGCCAGCTTCACGGAAAACACCAGATGCGGCGCTCCGGCGCCGCACCCGCAGCACCCTAGACGGTGCCCATGTGCGGGCGTGCTTCGTGCTTCGTGCTCACAATTGATTCCGCTATCGATCCCACGATTTCATCATCCATACCGCTGTCGAACTCCTCATCCATCGCATCGTCCATCCCCGTCGACGAGCCCTCTGAGATCGTCTATCCTCTCGAGCCGTTTTGAACCGTCAGATACCCGAACGGGCGAGAATGCCACAACCCTTCCAAAAACACCTACACCGAATCGGTATGTCGGGCCTCTTCGAAAGTTCGGCGCCTGCCAAATTTTCAAACCATCCACTGATTGGGGGCTTTCTCTGGTGCAGTATTTTTTGACAGGGGTCGCCCCCCGCCCCCCCCACACACACACACACACACACACACACACACACACACACACACACACACACACACACACACACACACACACACACACACACACACGCACACACACACACACACACACGCACACACACACACACACGCCACGCGCACGAGGGCGCCCGAATGATTTTGACAATCGCGCGCGAGAGTCTTGTCTGGTCGCAGTTCGTGAAAATGTTGAAAACTTCCTGGGGGAAACGAATTCGCAAGAGCGCGCGCGGCCAGCGCCGCGCACTCCACGGGGCTGCGGGCTCCCTCCCCCCCGCCCCCCCCGCGCAGGGTTCGGTGGCGACGGCCAGGACCAGTTCTGGGACTGGGCTGGCGACACCAGCGGATTCGAGGACCTGAGGGGGTCCTCCTCGTCGCTCGCGGGCGGGTGGGGGGGGAGGAGAAAGGGGGCGGCGGAGCAGGAGGAGGGGGGGGCGATGGAGGACGGAATAACAGGAAGAAGAGGAGGCAGGAAAAAGCGAGAGGGAGGCGGAGGAGGAGGAGGAGGAGGAGGAGGAGGAGGAGAAGAAGCAGGGGATGGAGAAGGAGAAGGAGAAGGAGGAAACACACGTAAGGAGGAGGAGGGGGTAGAGAATGAGGATGATGAGGAGGAGAAATAGAAGGAGAAAAGCGAATAATTGGTTGCGGAGAAAACAGATAGGAAGAGGAGGAGGAGGAAGAGGGGAGGAGGAAGAGGAGGCGGAAGGGAAGGAATAGGGGGTCGAGGAGGAGGAGGGCGGGTTCTAGGGGAGCTTGGAGTGAAAGGAAGGTTCGTGAGGGAGCGAGAGATGGATGCAGGGCGACGTGGGATGAACGACGGGAGGACGGGAAGAGTGGGAGAGAGGAAGAGGGGCAGGTGAAGGGGCAGGAGGGGGAGAATGAGGTTGATGGGGGGGAGTGAGGGAAAGAAAGAGGAAGGGAGGAGAGGAGAGAGGATATGAGGGACGATGAGGGTGCGAACGAAGAGGGGGAGACGGCGTAAGCCTGCGGAGATTCCACGGAGTGTTCTCTAGTGTTGACGATGGTTCCGCCCAATGTTCTTCTTCTCCTTATTGCTGGTTTTCCTCCTTTTCCTGTACCTCCATATCCGCTTCCCCCTCATCATTCCTATCGCGCTTCTACTCTTGATCCTCCTTCCCCTGCACCTTGTTACCCTTTCCTTCCCTGTCCTCGTCCTCCCGTGTTCCCGCCAACTTCGATTCCAAAGTCCCCAGATGCTCCCTCAGGACTGCTCACCTGCCCCACCCCCGTCTAGGAGGCGGAGGAGGAGGACGAGGACGAGGACGAGGACGACGAGGAGAGAGAGGAGGAGAAGGAGGAGGAGGAGGAGGCGGCGGAGGAGGAGGAGGAGAAGGAGGAGGAGGAGGAGGAGGAGGAGGCGGTGGATGGCTATATCAGAGTGAGGGGTGCCCACCTTGGTAGGTTTCAGTGCCGCCCGAGGTCCCTGCCACCCGACGCTCCCGCAGAGGTCCCGCGAGGTTCCCGCAGGCCCCACATACAGCCAACGGCGCCCGAAGGCCATGAATCCTCAAGCGCGGTGGGCAAAACTTGACATTAAGCCGGGCATGTCCCTCTACAGGGGGGAATACTCAAGAATAGCACCCCACAACATATTGTTACGATGTTTCGACTATTTTTGAATATGCTGGATTATTTTGTGACTACTTTTTATTTTTCGTCCATAATCCGCCTGTAGGAGGACATGCCCGACCTAAGCTTAGCACCCATCACTCCCTCCCCTCCACGAGCATGACCACGCCTCCGTGGATTCAGGCTTGGTTTGCGGTTGCGTCTGTGTGTTATCATGTTTCTGCCGATCTCTGTTCTTGCATCGCACATGTCTCACGCGCCTGGCGCCACGGCTCCCACATGGCGCCGAAGGAGGTTGGGGAGGGAGTGGGGGAGCAGGATGCATAATAGAAGGAGGAGGGTGAGTATTGCAGAGGAGGAGACAGGAACAGGAGGAGGAGGAGGAGGAGGAGGAGGAGGCGGAAGAGGATGAAGAGCAGAGGAGGGTGGAGGAGAAGGCGAATGAAGAGGATGTGGAGGAGAAGGGGGGGAGGAGCAGGAGGAGGACGAGGATAGAGAAGGAGAGGCACGAGAGTGCAGCCCCGAGGGGCGGGGGAGGCTCAGCGGGAGAGGAGGGGGGGAGGCGTGAGCCCGCTCTGGCGAGGAGCCCGCGCCGTCGATCCCGCAGCCGTCCCCCGGCTTCATGGCCGAGGACGAGTTCTGGACCTGGGCCACCGGGCTCGCGAGGCCCCTGCCGCCAGCACTCCCCTGCTCCGTCCTCCGTCCTCCTCCTGTTGCCTCGAACGTGCTGTCGGGCCGCCCGTTCTCCCGCCTCCTCCTCCAGCTCCGCCCCCTCCTCCTGCCTCGGCCGTCCTCCCTCCTCTCTTCCTCGTCAGCCTCCCTCTCTCGTCCAGCCTCCTTCTCCTCCGTCCTCGTCCTGCTCATTCCTCCTCCTCCGTCTCCTTTTCCTTCGCTGTGCCTCTATCCGCCTCCTCTATCCTCCTCCCCCTCCTCCTCCTCCTCCTCCTCCTCCTCCTCCTCCTCCTCCTCCTCCTCCTACTCCTCCTCCCGAAGAGGCCGGGCCCTTTCGCGACAGACCAGACGGCTGTTGCCTGGAGCCCTTCTGCCTGCGCGCCGGGCGTCGAGCTGGCCGTGCGCAGTCCCAGCACCAGGTGTTGGTTGGTGGGCGTTGCCAACGTCGACCTCCACAGTGGCGAGTTCGCGCATTTAGCTCCCAACAGTGCACATTGTTCATGTCTAATTCTTCGAAGGTTCTTTGATTTTGGGGGGGGCCAGGATCCTTTCGTTCCCAATTGTTCTATCCTGGGCCTCTTCCTGGCCATCAGGGGGCCGGGAACAGTTAGAAACGAGCACAATCAGAAATGAGCACGATCAGAAGTGAACGACGTGTGAGTGCGTCAAGGGTGATGGGAGCGTTTTCCACCACCACCACCATAGGTTGGGGGGTGGAAGAAGGAGGACGAGGAGGAGGACGAAGAGGAGGAGGAGGAGGGCACCCTCCCCCTCCAACTTATGGTGGTGGTGGTGGAAAACAGGCCCATCAAAGGGAGAGGCAGCCGAGGATGCCTCCGTGGTCCGCCACGCGCCCCAGGTGGCGAGGCATGCCAGGCTGGCTCCAGTAACCCGCCGCAGAGGCGCAGAGGTGTCGGGTCTCTCCTCGTCCTCCTCCTCCTCCTCCTCCTCCTCCTCCTCCTCCTCCGCCTCCTCCCCTCGTCCTCGTCCTCCTCCTCCTCGTCCTCCTCCTCCTCCTCCTCCTCCTCCTCCTCCTCCCTCCGAGGACCTGTTGTGGGATGAGGGGCCGCAGTGAGCATCCGAGCAGCAGCTATGCAATCCGAACGATAGATCGGGTCCCGCCTCCCTTCAGTGCCCCGGCGTGTACAATCTGCTGGGCTGGCATCTCGCAGGGGTTCAGGTTTCGTTACCGCTGCGGCCCCCGATCCAGGTTAGAGCCAAAGTCACACGGACTCCGTGCAGCCGAGGGAGGTGGGCAGGAGGAAGCGGCCCCGCCTGAGCGAGGAGGGCATCCCACAACACTACTATTTACAATGTTTCGTGCCCCTCCCACCCCTCCAGGGAGGCCCCGACGGAGCGAGGAGGGTATCCCAAAACCATACTATTTACACGGTCCCGTGCCCCTCCCACCCCTCTGGGGAGGCCCCGCCTGAGCGAGGAGGGCATCCCAAAACCATACTATTTACAAGGTTTTTGTGCCCCTCCCAGCCCTTTAGGCAGGCCCCGCCTGAGCGAGGAAGGTATCCCAAAACCATACTATTTACAAGGTTTCGTGCCCCTCCCACCCCTCTAGGGAGGCCCCGCCTGAGCGAGGAGGCATCCCAAAATCATACTATTTACAAGGTTCCGTGCCCTTCCCACCCCTCCAGGGAGGCCCCGCCTGAGTCAGGAGGGTATCCCAAAACCATATTGTTTGCAAGGTTTCGTGCCCCTCCCACTCCTCCAGAGAGAGGCCCCCGCCTGTGCGAGGAGGAGGGGAAGTTTGGCGATGAGGAAGGGTTGATGGTGATGATGGTGGGGATGATCATGATGAAGACGACGATGGCGACGACGATGATGATGCTGATGATGATGGTGATGGTGATGATGATCCTGATCATGATAGTGATGCTGATGATGATGAGGATGATGATGATGATGATGCTGATGATGCTGATGATGCTGATGATGGTGATGGTGATGATACTGCTCCTTCCTTCCTCTCCTTCTTCTCCTTCCTCCCTGCCTTATCGGCATTCCTGCTCTTGCTCTCCCGAGCTGCCCATTCGGCACTGCTGAAGTTAATGCTGCCGAGCGCGGCCTCCTTTGACCGCGTCCTGCACATCCATCCTTCTCCCCACATGCTGCTTCCCCTCCTCGCCTCCGTCGGCCCTTCCATGACAACATATGGACATCATAGGCCTTCATTGTTTGGCCTGCTTTTATGCCCTCGTGATACCGCCAACCCATAACATCCTCATGCGGGAAACTCCGTTAGCATAGTTTCCGTTGCTCCAAGCCCCTACCTTCTGGATATGTTACATTGCCGTAGCTCCTTTGATCTGTGCGGTGGCGGCGCCAGGGTTCAGTCGCTGGAAGCGCTGGAGCAGGACGAGGAGACGGACAACCAGTTCTGGGATTGGGTGAGTTCGCTTGGGAGCGGAGGGGGGGAAGCAGGAGGAGAAAGAGGAGGAGGAGGAGGAGGAGTAGGAGAACGGGAGGATAATGTGGAGGAGGGAGAAGGAGGGAGGAGGATGAGCAGCAGGAGGAAGAGAAGGAGGAGGAAGAGGAAGGAGGAGAAAGGAGGAGGAGGAGGAGGAGGAGGATAATGAGGAGGAGGAAGAAGAGGAGGAGGAGGAGGGGGGGGACACTGTGGAGGTGGAGGAGAAGGCGCTCTCCAACTCCCCCCTCACTGTTGGATAATAGTTGTTTCTCCGCCGCGCCGTGCGGCCATGCCTCCTCCCTTCCTTCCTCCTGCGCTGGCCCCGCACCGCCTGCCAGCTGCTACTGTTGTTGCCGACCATGCTGCCCTCATGCAGGTTTCGGCACACACGCACACACAAAAGCAACAGCCGCAGCTACAATAACCTCTGCAGCAACAGCAACAACAGCAACAACCTCATCATCAACCAGATCAGCAACATCAACAATAACCACAACACGTACAACACCAACAGCAGCAACATCAGCGACAACAACAACAACATCAACATCAGCAGCAACACCAACCGCAACATCAACACCACCACCACCGACCACAGCAACAACAATCATTTTAAGACTGCGTTCTTATCTGCTCGCGGGCCCTTGAACACGTAAATCCCGAGCCCTCGATACCAGCCCTCTTCGTCTTCGATCGTAACCCCTTGAGGGTATATCTTCCTTGCCTGCAACTTGTAGTTCGTGCAGCCCGCAATGCTGAGGAAGGAAGGACGGATCGAAGGAAGGGACAAGGGGGAGGGAGGAGGATGGAGCACGAGAGAGAGAGAGAGAGAGTAGCAGGAGGAGGACTAGAGGCAGAAAACACGTGGCATAACCAGACGGGCAGATCGGGCGGGTAGACCCTAACGGCGGGTCCGGGAGGCGGGCCCAGGCGGCCAGATCGAAAGGGCGGGTTGAAGAAGCGTGAGTCCTGCATGGAACACGAGTAAGTCTCAAGCGATTGCGCGAGTCCCAAATAAGTTATCAGGAAATCCCCAGCGAGAGCGTGATTCCTGAATGTCGAGGGCGCGGTGTATGAATAGATTGTGAGGACGTCCGACGCGAAGGCGCGATTTCTGTATGCATTGCGAGGAAGTCCCGCGCGAGAGCGCGATTAGGGAATACACTGTGGGGAAGTATAAGGCGTGAGCCGCTGTTGTTGTGACTCGGGGGCCAGCGGCCGAGTTTGGTGACACCTCATTTCCCTTGTTTTTTGTGTTATGAGAACAAAAAAGAGTGCGAGCCCCCGGAGAAGCCTTTCAATTGAAGCAAACTCTTACCGGGCAGGGAGAGTATCAACAATAATTTCCCAAACAGTGCTTGAATTTAGGGGTTCTTATTTGTCTTAACCATCTGGGATCTGGGGGCCAGTCCCGGCTTTCCCTGGCGGTGGCACCCGGCGCCGCCCCGTCGCCTCGTCGTCGTTCCGTCGCCGTCTCGTCGCCGCCCACATAGATTCTCGTTTCTTTAAGAAAGAAGGCTCTCCCCCCCCGGGATTATCAGTCCCACTTTTCGTATTGCACTTTACATACGGTTCTGCCCCATCGTTTCCCCTCAATATGGATTCGTACCGTCCAAGCCAGGCCTGTATCGACCACCCCCGCCATCCTCGTTTATCACATATTATCAGCTTCCAACAATCACCTGGGGAAAAAAACGTGACGAAGTGCACACGCGCGCGTTGTCGCGTGCGCATGCCGTAATCAGTATTTTTGTCGAAAACAAACAATACTCGGTTTAGTCTGGATTTCAGATTCCAGTGTCCCTATATTACAAAAAAAACATTGGTTCGCAACACGGTCTTCCCCAAAAAGAGCTCGCGCGCGTTCTTGTGTTAACTCTTCAAAGAAAAACATGGTTTTCTATTATTTTCAAAAAGATGCTACCAAACGGGCTTCGCGCGCGCATGCCGAAATCGCTCGAACGCCCTTTCGCATGTGCTGTCGCGAGAATCCTTTGCAACAAGTGTGACGAAATGCGCGCCCGCGCGTCGTCGCGCGCGCATGCCAAAATCCTTCAAACACCTTCGGTGTCGAAGCGATGTCAAAAGCGAATGTCAAGCACCAAATATGATTTCGAGTGTCTTGCGGGTTTTCAAGCAAACCATGAGTTTTAGAACATGCTCATTGGGTTCTGCCAAACAAGCCACTCGCGCCTCATGTCGAAGTTATTATTGCGCCCTTGCGCGCGTGCTGGGGGGGCACGGCCCGCGTCAAATAACACCATGCGGTCCACTCTCGCGCGCCAGCCGCGCGCGCACGTCGAAGTCCTTCCAACACTTTCATCACCAACACGAGGGCGCCGTCATCGCCGTCGGCGTGATCAGCATCGGCGCCGTCACTGGCCGTGCCGTCGCCGCTGTCATCATCGTTGCCCGCACCGCTACGACCATCATCGTGTCTACCGATGTCGACGGTGCCATGATACCGCGCCCGCCCAAGTCGCCGACTCGCACTGAAGTGCCCGTTAGGATGTGCGCAGCGGTCAGCGCCACCGCGGCCGCGTCGGTCGCGCCATACTGGCTGGCAGCTGCGCGCGCGAGCATGCGCGGGCTAGCGCGGCCGCAGAGATGCAGCAGCAAACGCCAAGCACTCATCGCAGTCGCCGCCGCATGGGTTTTGCAAACCAAGTTGCGGGTGGGTGGGTGGGATGACTGCGCGAACAATGGAGATGACATTTTATTGCGGACAGAAATCAATTGCACCACATAGCTTGCACCACATAGCTGGCACGGCATAGATGCACCACATAGAAGACACCACATAAGATACACAGCATATATTGCATTACATAGGCTGCACCGCACACCTTGCACCACATAGATTGCGCCGCAGAGACTGCAATTACATACTCTTTGGGGTCCATGCTGGCTCACATTATTTTTAGAAATGGAATCTCAACGAACGCCATCGCCACCAACAACAACAGCAACAACAACAACGATAATGTTAAGACTGTTCGCGCCTATCTGCTCGCGTGCCATTCAACACGTATATCCCAAACCATCGGTACCCGATCTCTTCGTGTTCGATCGTACCCCCTCCTGGGTATATCTTCCTTACCGGCCACGTGCATGTAGCGCAGCCCCTAAAACAGCGGAAGAGAGGACAGGCGGAAAAGAGGGAGGGAGAAGGATGGAGCACAAGAGAAAATAGAAGGAGGGGGCCTGTGAGCAGAACGCACGTGGCATAACCAGACGGGCAGATCGGGCGGGCAGACCCTAACGGCGGGGTCCGGGAGGCGGGCCCAGGCGGCCAGGTCGAGAGGGCGGGATGCTGAAGCGTGAGTCCTGCATGAATCGCGAGGATGTATCGAGCGACAGCGCGATTCCCAAGTAAATCGCGAGAAACAACAAAGCGAGAGCGTGATTTCTGAGTGTCGAGGGCGCGGCGTTTGAATCGATTGCGAGGGAATCCCACGCGAGAGCGCGACTCCTGCATACATTGTGAGGAAGTTATGCGCGAGAGCTCGACTGCTGGAATTCATTGTGGGGAAGTATCAAGCGGGAGCCGTTGCTATTGTTGTTGTTGTTGTTGCTGTTGTTGTTGTTGCTGTTGATGTTGTTGTTGATGTTGATGTTGATGTGGATGTTGATGTTGTTGTTGGTGTTGTTGTTGTTGTTATTGTTGTTGTTGTTGTTGTTGTTGTTGTAACTCGGAGTCCAGGGGCCCATTTTGGTGACACCTCATGCCCCCCTGTTAAAAAAAACAGGGTGCGGGCCCCGGGAGGGGCATTTCAATTGAAAAACACATTGGTTACCGAGGATGACGACGAGGACGACGAATACGACGACGAGGACGACGACGACGACGGCGCCGAGAGGCCGTAGAAGACGTCCAGAATCCCGACCGGACAGCACTTGGCATTCTGCCACGCCCCAACGCGCCAGAGGGCGCGGTGGCGGATGGCGGCCATATAGGCTATCCGATGTCTAGCGTACTGGATTCGCCCCGATAGTTGTCCGTTCGCCGGTTCCTCCCTCATCATTCCTCCGATGGTCGATCTTGGAACGCTAATCTGTCAACCGTGGGTCGGGATCTGGCCGCCCATCGACACCAGAGAGGAGGAAGAGGAAGGAGGAGGAGGAGGAGGAGGATCGATGAGGAGGAGAGCGAGGAGGAGGAGGAGGAGGAGGAGGATCGGGCCGCCAACCGGAGCCATGGA